GGGTGTTGAGAAGCAGATACGTGTGTGAGCGGCAGTGACGGGCTGGATTAGCTCGGGGGGGCCAATCAACCAACCTGTCAAGTATAAGCAAAATGGCATATCTTGGTTACAAACTCATGACCTACCGACACGCCAGCCAGTGGCATAAAAGTTCTTTCCAGCAGATCCAACAGTAAGAGTGAGCTTCTCCACCTCAGGAGAAAGGTTGGCAATTCGAGTAAACGGCACATAGAAAAGACGGTCATAAACTTCATCTGAGAGAATGATAGTCTGGTGCTTGACAGCAAGATCGGCAATCTTTTGTAACTCGTCCTTGTGAAAGACCTTGCCTACAGGGTTGTCTACTTGAGGTCAGCGCTGATATAAGCGGGAAGCTTGTGGTACTCACGGGGAGTGTTGATGACAATCATCTTGGTGCGGGGTGTGAAGGCCTTCTCGAGCTCATCAAAGTCGATCGTCCAGTCTGCGGCCGAAGAGTTCTTTGTAGCTCCTGTCTCTGGAGGGTGAAGGGGAACATAGACGACCTTGCCGCCGGGCATCTGAATGTTGCTGATATATCTGGACCAATGTTAGCTTATCATCCAATCTGGAATGCAAGGCACTCACTGATCAAAGAATGGCTCAAACACAATAACCTCGTCACCAGGCTCAATAAAACCCATGAATGCACTCAGCATACCCTCATTAGCACCAGTTGTGATGATAATCTCAGTCTCAGGGTCCAACTGACGACCCCACAATGGTGAATATGCATCCGCAAGGGCCTTCCTCAACCGCGGTCGTCCCTTAGCAGGCGCATACTGATTGCACTCAACACGGTCCAAAGCCTCCTTGGCAGCGTTAAGAATAAAGTCAGGAGGGTTGTAACCAAAGAAACCCTGGCCCAAGTTGACAATGGGCTGGATAGGTGAAGACGCAGCGGCCTCATTGATCATGGACCTATTTCGGCCGAGTTAGCTTATCGTAGCTTTTCAGGATTTGGAGGGAACTCACCAAACATCCTTCTTCTGGCCCTGGACTCGAGCCGCGGGCTTGAGCTTTTGAGTCTGGTTACTCATGACGCTGACACTGCTTGAGAATGGTCTTGATAAGTGAAGAGGGATATTGCTTCGGAGTGTAGTCCGGAGCACGGATTGGGAGGGGCGGCTTGGGGTTAATATGGAGCGCAACATCAACAGCGACGAAAGGGTCCCTTTTTCAGTATTAGTCAGATCCCTTGATAACTGTAGCAAAAATCCTCACGTACAATTGTCCCACTGAGAGGAATCACGCCTTGACAATTGGATCAATAGCAGTCTTTCTCTCCGCAGGTAGCTTGTATCTCAACGGTTGCGACATCGCCGTAACCGGGAGCGATAAGTGATGACTAATAACTTTTGCGGGGGTTTAATTCTCCTACTAATCGCGTCATTAGCTCCAATGATGAGCACTGAAATTGGTTTATTAGGATTGGCTCGATAACTCGATGCGAGGTTGTGTTCCGGCACTTGATGCTGTAGAATGCATCGGGTTTGTTCCGACAATAAGCCCTTCTATCCCTTGCTGCCCGCTCTTCTTCAGCATAGCGAGACCGGAGCGTTCTACTACCAGTCGGAAAAGTACCATAGTACGACATGGACCTCCATACAGATAGCCGTGACAAGGGTCGACTTACATACGGCTCATAGTTCTGATGCCGATAATGTTTCATGAGGAACTGAAACGACTTCAGCTAACAACTCGTCGCTATCACAAACACTACACTCAAATCAGTAACTTCAATATCAATGACTTTACTGAGTTGAGATATCACTTAAAGTACGAGAACACATTGCTATACAAGTACCATCCTGTACTACTCCGTAGTTACCTTCGCCGTTCTCTGTCCATATTCAATCTCTGCCATGTCACTCCAACATTTCCCATCCATGAACTCTTGATTCAACTCGGCGGCAGATAAACCCCCGAAAGACAAGACAGTTTTCTCTACCAGAACACCAAAGGCTGGAAGCCCTCGGGAGACTTCAGCTCCTCGACAAAATTGGGGCGAGCCTCTAGACGCTCAGCCGTCAGCCTCACCAGCTCAGAAGCGGTGATTCGCTTCTCGTGATCCCATTCAAGTAGCCGTAACAGGATCTTGACAAAGTCATTGCCAGGATTTAGCAAGTTCAAGTTTTGTGCGTGGGTGACGCACTTTCGCGGATAGAATTTCTCCTGCTTCACAAGATAACGAGGCCACTGGGCCATCATTCCGAGAAGTGAGATTCCGAGCGCCCAAATGTCATCGCTCTTACCGGAGTGTCTCAAGTACTTCTCGATGTAAGGCGACCAGTAGGAGCGGGTTCCGTGAGGTCGTTTGTGCCGGTCAATATGCTCGACCTTCATGACTTCTGCGCAGTCGCCGACGACAACATCGACGGGAGACCAGGATCGTATGATGATGTTGCGTGGTTTGATATCTCCATGGAAGAGTCCTTTCCCATGAAGATACTCGACGGCTTGCCCAACCTGGAGCATGACTTGCAAGGTGTCTTTGCCTTTGAGACCTGCAGGGTTGTCATGAATTTTGTCTTGAAGACTGCCCCCAGCACAGAGCTCCATGACGAGGACGCTGGCGGCTGGGTTGTGCTTGTCCTCACAGTAGTCGATGAACTTGACAATCTGGGACTATATAAATATATGGTCAGTAATGAGATTCAATACTGTAGTACGGAAAGACTCACATGGTTCAGTCTAGTCAAGTTTCTGGCTTCCTTTCGTAGGTGATCGGCGTACTCAGGAGAGACCTTGCCGGCGAACAGGCCGCCGGTTTTGACGTTGAGTACCTTGTAGACGTTGGCATATGCACCTCGGCCCAGTCGAGTTCCTCGACGATAGGAGCAGGTAGGGAACTCTTTCTGAGGGACAAGGGATGCTCGAACATCCTCGTTGGTCCAAGCGGCGATGCTCATGGTGAATGATGCTGTTGTATTTCGCACGAGCCTCGATAGTTTTGAAGGTTAGAAAGTTTTGAAGGTGAGGATGAAAGAAGGGAAACAAGTTGATGAAACCATATCGAAGAAGTGAATACATAAATGCTCGGGTCACAATGTAAGGTACCTAGTAGTGTAACCATTGCCAGTGGTTGTGCGTCACAGAGATGAGAGGACAGTGTCAACTGTTCATTGCCTGCCACTGCAAGAACAACCAATAAATCTCGTTTATGCCTTGAGAACTGCTACTGGAACATGGAGTAAGCGAATTCACCTGGACGTTGAATTGGCGCATGCTGAGGCGATACGGTGACATTGTTCCCTTGCAGAGGAATCTAATATAATTCTTGTGCCAGAGCAATGTTTCAAGTGACTCCCCAAACTGCACACCTAACTAGACCATTTTCATTGGGCAACGTCACACCAGAGCCTGGTATCAAGATATATACCATTACAAACCGGACTACTTGTCACCAATTATTTCGACTCTTGCGGACTTGTTGCAGAGCTGGGCAGGGGATGGGCAGGTAGCTTCATGATATGGGGGCTAACTCTATATCCTGTATTCTCCTGTGCCTCTATTCTGCCGACGTTGGCTTACCCACATGGAATCCGAAGAGGCTCTAATAAATTGCGTTTTTCTACAGTGTCTCTAAAGAAAAACTTCATTGCTTCCTTTGAATTCATAGACTCCAGCTAGAGTATGTCGCTCAAATTTGAGAAGAATTCGCTGATGCATACCTAAGGTATATGCTACACTCCCCTACTTTCATGTCTTTCGCTTATTATTCTCTCTCTCATTGTCAGAAGAACCGAAGTATCCTTGGACCCCTGATTCGCGCCTGAAGACGATTCCCTAGCCATGCTAGCTAAGCAAGCAAAAATTGAATATTGCCCCTGATGAACTCGAGATACCTACCCCGATAGGTAAGCAGGAGAGACAGGTTTATAATGAAAATGCCTTCCAAGAGAATCGATAAATTCGAGGGATCTGGATTATACGATTTCGTGATGGGATGTATATCTGAGAGGTTAGACTGAATGGAGTCATGATACTACAGACACAGTGGTACTCACAGTACGTGATGAACGACATTATTACCCATGAGGTGATTATACAGCGTACAAGCTGGGCATCCATTGTTAGTCGTTTCTTTCGAAGTCGGCTCGAATTGGCTGCAAGTAGGAGACTCGTTGGTTCGAAGCTTAAAGGGAGCTCAGAGACTCGCTATTGACGAATTCTTGGTATTTGTATTAATAAGAGTGTTTTCAGAGCTTGTTAATGACTGTAGTTCTAATTCTTGAGAACAGTTGGTAATTCGTTTGATAGTCAAGAAAAGATGTAAGAGATGGATGCATTGCGACGATGTGTGGCCTCGGGGAGAAAGACACATCAAACCTTGATTAGGTGCCAAAATAAAATCCACAAACGACATCCTAAACTTATGCTAACTTCCGTAAGTATTTTTGCCACTTAGGATCGAGGTCCCGAGTTTTCTTGCCTCCCCTACCTAGGTACCTAAGGAAGGTAGGTACTTACTTATCTGAGGTTGAGAAAGGGTGAGGGAGCTCTTTCCTAGAAGCAGCGCCCGAATAAGACCTTCTTTACATATAATAGATTCTGAGTCCAGAGAAGGTGCTTCCTAGGAAGACACGTCGTAATTGTAAGTGCTGTCTTGTTGCTAGGTAAGTGCCTGCCACAAGAAGTCTATCATATTGGATGCTTTGGTATACAATATGACAAAACCACTGCATTGCCCCTACTTTCGCCGAGACTTAATCATATATGGTAGAAACGTGATTGCCAGGCTCTGATGACATGTTGTTTAACGAAAGTGGTCTACTAAGTCAGGTGTCAGGTGTGTGGTTTCGGTAGCCACTCAAAATATTTCTCGGAAACCAATCTACTATGTATTGAGGCATATCTCTGATGCATCATCATCATCCCTATCATTGAAACTCCTCGTGGACTGAGGCCACTTGTTCAGTTAGATCTTAAGGTTCAAGGCAGCTGCTGTGTGATCTGCTGAGACTTAACATTAAGGTTATTGTGTCTTTTTTTTGGGCGTAGTGTATGACGCCTTATGTTGTGTTGTGTTGAAAATAAACACCTTATTTTGTTATATTGCTTTGGGGCCTTTGGCTTTACTTCGCGTATTGCTACATAGGCATTTTGACTTTCGAATCATTGAAACTCCGTTGACTTTCTGGCGTCTTTAAGGGCGCCTGTCGTGCACATGATACTACATAAACACACTTTCCTTCGTCATGCGCCTTAACCTGATCGTCATATCCGTATCACTCCATGTCCCTCAACTCCCATTTGCCTGATGCGCATCATAAACACTGAAATCCGTAAACGCCTTCCCATGGTTCCAAAGCTAGTTGCTAAAATTGAAGAGGGTATTCGGATACATAGCCCAGAGCAGTTCGTGTCGGTGACAGCTCAGACTGTTTCGTCGCGACGGGCTATTGTACGTATGCTCGCCATAAGTCGATCCATGAATTCCATAGATTCACCTCCAGGAACGTCTGCAAACTCTTGTTGTCCGGAAGAGGTGCTCGTCGCCAGCGCATTTGTATCGATTGCGTGTACCAAGTTTGAACCCGCAGATGTCAACTTGCTATCCTGGAAAGGTGAAGCACCCTGCTGTTGTGTTGAGGCTGAGGCTGAACCTTGCGAAGAGATCTGAGCAACGCCCGGCAACCGCGGAATTGGAATGGGGGTCTTGGAAACCTTAGTCCCAAGTTTTTGATTGTTCAAAGGCTGTCCATTCGACAATATCTGCTGAGGTGCCCGGATCGGTTTTGCAGGTTTGGGCGTAGCAGGTGAGCCTTTGCTCTCGGATTGTTGCAAGATCGGCTTTCCGGCGGCAACGGGAGCAGGGGTCTTAGACGTAGGCGCCATCGAAGCCAGAAAGTTTGCAGGCAACGGGACTGGCGACTCTTTCGGGGGTATCTGGATTGGCTGTTCAGCCGATCCTTCATTCCTATCGAGAATTCCAGGTACTTACCTTGTATTCCTTAAAAATCGTCCCAATCTTAGGTTTACTGCTCTGGTTAGGTGGCTGGGTAGTCTGTGGGGACTTCTGCTGAGGCTTTTCTTCAGCCATTTGCGGAGGCTTCTGCGGAGGCCTCTGCTGGGGCTTCGGGGTCGACTTTTGCGGCCGCGCCTGTGGCTGCACCTGTGGCTGCATTGGTGCCTGTACTTGTGCTTGTGTCGGTGCATGCGTTTGCACAGGCATAGGGGGCAAATACTGTTGTTTTATCGCAGGCCGAGGAAACTGGCTGAAGCTGGGGGTGCCAGTTCCTGGAGATGGCGTGGGCACTTGCTTCAAGTTCGGTTGTTGGCTGATCCGAAGCTGGCTCCCAGGAGACGCATGGTGGCCATGCGCCGGAGGATGGTGGTGTAGAGGCTGGTAGGCGCCGAAATTCTGACTGCTCTGGAATCTATTATCTTTGATTGTACCGTTGAGATACGCATCCTTGTTGGCCATAATATGAGCCCTGAAGTTGCCCTCGTATCCGTTGGTGAAGCCTCCCCAAGCAGCATATGGCGTCCGGTACTTAGTCGAGTCCCTATAGAGGTTAGCAAAGGACCAATGTGTTAAGTAGATAATACGTACCTGTTATGGTTGACCTGGAAAAAGGGATACTTTTGGAATATAGATACATCTGCCTGCAAAGCTACTCTTGCTTGTGGTGCCTGGTGGTGGTTTGCAGGTGCCGGAGCCTGAAATGGTTGTGGATAGGGATGGGCTACTCCAGGATGACTAGGGGTTGGTGCAGGAAGGGCAGAGGTATATCTTCCGTGCCACTGGTTCTGCTGATAATGTGGCAATGCGTTCGCAGAACTCTGCACCCTGGGTGTGCTTCCGGGAGGTGTATAGGCGGGCGATTGCCTAACCTCGAACTTTTGAGCAGAGTAGGCGGGAGCGGCTTGTTGTCCTGACAGTGTAGGTTGTGCATATGGATAACGATAGTTCCCGGGCTGTTGCTGGACTGGAACGGGCGAAGGGGCAGCTGGTGTGAATCTTTGAGTGGTGAAGTTGCCCATCGCAGGGTAATTGTTAGAAGCAGGGGTTCGTGGCTTGTACATATATGGCTTGTCGAGTCGTGCTGCAGGATAAGGCGCGGCGGGCTGGTAGGCTTGCCGTGGAGGATATGCTGGAACCGGCCTTGGGGGCTTGACAGGTTTGGGAACTGTCGATAGGAAATTACCCCTGGGATTATGACGTGGGTTGCTAGGATCTTCAGTGAATTGGGCGCGGGCTTCTGTCGATGTCTTAGGCAAATAATACCAAATTTGGTCGGGTTTGCAGAAATCGATCTTGACTTGTTCTTTGTTTGCGACAGGGTGGCTGTTGAATTCGGCCCAAGTACAGCCTTCAACGAAAGGATCATCCTTCTGGGGCTTGCCGTCATGAAGTCGTTTTGTTTTGAGCTTCTCCTTGGCCTTCTGGGACGCAGGCATCGGAATGGCCTTTGCCGATGCCTTTGGCAGGCGATAATCGGCTGGATCGGGTACCAGTAGCCATTTCCATTCGACTTCGAGGCGGTCACTGCAAGCGGTTAGTTTGGATTTGACGACATCGAGTTTCTGATAGATTCTAGCATACCCATTTGGCAAGATGTCAATAAGCAACGTTTGCTCATCGTGTCGGTTTTCAACCACGACACCAGCAAAGATGTCGCCCTTGAAGTATTGCAACTGGCAGGTCTCGCCAGGCTGAAGCTTTGAAGCTGCCGTTCGGACTCGTGAGTCAGTCTCCAACGCATCTCCATCAAGCTTCCTATCTCGCTTCGTCCGATGGTATCGACAACTGAACTCGAAGGCTTGCTCCTTGTATTCTGTGCCATCTTCACCGAAGACTGGGATTTCTTCTTCTTCGACGAAAACACCAGCTGCGGCTGCGCATGTTGCATGATAAGCCCGGGCGCATCTCTTTTGGGAACATTGGAAGCAAGCGCCCTGTTTGGAACGGCAGTAGAGACACTTAAGTTCGAATCGATCTTTGTGGATTTCAGACACATTGACGACAGTCTCCTGTCCGTCGATTGTTTCGGTATACGTCTCTGGCAGATAGTGCGCACAAAGTCGATGAGCTTTTCGACCAGTATCAGTGGGCAATAGATCGGCCGATGGAGTGTCGTTAGGGCAGAGGCAGCAGGGTGGTTCGGCTTTCGATTTGAGGCGAAGTCTGATCTTCTTGACCTTGCCTCCCTTCTCGCCAGGTGCACGCTTTCGCTTGCGGCCAGCCAGTCTGAACTTGACACCGGAGCCAGAAGGTGGTGTTGGCATGCCACCTTGTTCATCTTCGTCATCTTCCTCTTCGTCCTCGGTTTCTTCATATTCTGTTTCTTCTCCACGTAATTTGCGCTCGATGTCGTAGACATTAATCCAGACACTGTCTTGCGCTTCGGCACACTCGCACTTTTTGGCGATTTTACCGATGTCTAGCCAAGAATCGAGTGCGAAATTGACAGCCTCGGCACAGTTGTAGCCCAGGTTGTAACCAGAATGGTATCCATATGGATAGGTCACGACGAACTCTCCAGGGTAAGATACGCATTTGTTGACAGTGATATTATAATGCGATTTCAAATGCTGAGGCGAGATGAGGAATCCTTTGTGGCGAAGAAACTGGTCACAGGCCTTAGCATCTGTAGGCCAGATATTCTTCATCGCAGCCTCGAACCGGCGGGCATCGGCTTGGGAGATACTGTACCACTGCTTGGGAGCACCAAAGTGAAGGTAGTTGATACTGTAAAGATCAACATCTTCAAGATGCCAAGCAAATGTTGCTTTCCACATGCCAAGGTAGAGATAAGCTGTGTTGACTCCTGGAACCTTTTCGCCCAAGACATCCAAAAGATTAGGCAGCTTGTTTAAATTCCACTGTTCGGTGGATTCGTCAAAAAGCGTACCCATCAGATCAGCGCCGTAGAGGGGAGGTGCGTAGGTAAGGGTCTTCCAATAAGCCCTCTCAAGTTCCTCGCAGCGTTCAGGGGTATACTCGGATATGTCCATCTTGTAATCCCAGTCTTTAAAGGCAGCTTCATCGATCATAGCGGATCCCTCTCGGCGACTGTATTTGCGACGGGCCGAGACTGTTTGTGTCTTGGTTCTTGCCTGTCGGAGGCCACCCATGCGACCAACAGTAGGTTCATAATCCTCCTCAACCTCTTCACCAGGATCCTTCTCTACTGACTCGACAGGTTTATCCTCAGTCTCAGCAACCTCTGGCTTGGGTGACACCGGAGTCATAGGTCGGTCTTCATTATCATCCGCCCGTTCTTGCTTGAGCCGCTTCCCTCTGCCTCCTCGCTTGGCAGGTCGTCCCCTACCTCTCTTCTTAGGGGTCGAAGGATCAGCAGGTTTAGCCACAGTCGCGGTTGCAGCCCGAGTTCGTGTTTTAGGCTTCTCGGCATTGGCGCGTCGCTCACCACGTCTAGCCGGGGGCTGGTGTTCGCTCTGGTCGCATAGTTGGCGCCACTGGGGCAGGTTATAGGATCGTCCGTGAAGGATGTTGACTTGGCGATAGGTTCCATTGGATCCCATAATATCTTGCTTGATCGGCTCTCGAACTTTAACCTGCTTCACAAGGTCGTCGAGTTTGGGAAGGGTGTCTTTCCATTCTTGCGGGGGGATAACTTTAATGATGCCGGATTTCATTCCATAGCTATCGACGGCTTCCATCTAGGGTATATGTTAGCGACGGAAACGAGGGAACTTGTGGTCGACGTACGAAGCGCTTGAAGTCCTTGAACTGGTGCATGGTAGGCTTGAAGATAGGAACAGCACCAGACCAGGAATCTGGCAGGACCTCTCCAATGTCAATGTCTTCGTCAGCATCTTCCTTCTTATCGTCGCTGTTGACATTGTCGCTAGAAGAAATAGGCTGCGGTGGATCGCTCAGGATGGGTTCGTCTTCAAGATCGCTCAACTCAGACTCAGAATCTGAACCATCAGACTTCGCTGTGTTGTTGCTATCGGGAGGCGAATGCAAAAAGGTAGCGCCAGGTTGAGCGGTCGTAGGGTTTTTGGTGTTGGTATCGACAGGCGCAGTCGTGACGACCGTATCGTGAGAATGTGGTGTAGCAGCGACAGCAATGCCAGCGTCGATCGACGTGGACGTCGACTCCGACATGGTGGGCGATCACGTCGCAATCAGCGACAGTGCCATTGAGGGAGGAATTCTAAATTTCGGGTCCGTTTCTCGCTGCGGCGTAGTACAGACGATTGAGAATATCGATGCGGCGAAAAGAATTAATTACTCTGTCAAGAGATTTTTGCGCTGAAGTGTTGAGTATGACGGACGAAAAGGGCGTGAGCGCAGACTTGGAAGGTGGTACAGTGGGTAGGGTAGGTACAGTTTACTGAAGTTGGTGGTCAGAAGGGCAGGTGATGCGGATAGAATTGTTAGCGGACGAATGAGAAGGCTCGCTTAAAGGTATCTTCTGAGCTTATCCTCGGTAGGCGGTACCTGTAGGCCACGTACTGTGCTAAGATTTCAACCTGGCCTAAATGCAAGCGGAAGAAACAGGGCAGGGAGGTACCCCCAAAAAAGGGCCCGCTAAACACGCATCATTCGATTTCGGAGGGTTCCATCATCATCGCAAACCGCCCCCTTTTTACAAACGAATCAACTTTTTTTTTTTTTGGGTGTAAGGCATAAGCAGGGTGAAATATCTGAATGACTATCGATTATCGATTATTGAATTATCAAATATCAGAAAGGATGATGGTCTTTTGTTTGGATACTGAAAATGTACTGACTTTGTTCTGTTTTCTAGAAGCACACATAGGCTTTGTTGTGTATTGTTTAAAGATCTTCATCTGATGCAGCTTGATCAGATTGATAAGATTGGCATCTGAAACTCAGGACCCAAAAGCTGGGGACATCGTCCACTACCGATTATCCTGGCCTGGCTTTGTCCCACCTTACGTAGGCGACATTAGCCCACGAGCACCTCCCCCCCATCTGTGGTCCCTGCTTCAGGGCTGAGTTGACTGGTTGTTAGCTGCTGCTGCCATAGCTCCGCTTTGCTCTTCATCTGTAACTCACTATATTGTGTTGTTCCAACTGAACAGCTCGTAGTGTCCATGTTTTGCATATGCGCCCCTAAATGTAAGCCATCGTGATTCGCTCAAGTTGACCGTTGGGGGCTGTCACTTGAATACATACTTCCTTCTCGACATCAAGGCTATTGTATGACAGACTCAACTTGATCCGCTGTTCCATTATATTTCCACGGCACGTTCTATCTCAGCTTGCAGACCACTTTGTGTAGTTTTGATCTTGGTTTCTTGAATATCTGACTGACACGCTGGTGAAAGGGCTAGTGGAGGAGACCTAGCTCTTGAAGCTTTCTCATTTAATCTCCCCCACGAATCACTTCCAGACTCCACATGGAAGTTTATACTCATTGTTTTCAAGACTTCATGAAAGTGACCATGTCTTTGTTCACAGTTAACCACTGACAGTATTCTCAAGCCACGCTCCTTTCGTCATAGTAAACTGCTGATGAAGTTTTCCAACAGAGAGCTTGTTTGGTAACTCACAAACATTATCACTATGATAGCATTTGCGGAAATATGTCATGAATTAACCGCCACTGGCTGTCCATGAAATTGAGCATTTATAGTCTCCTTTGTTGAGATGATGGGGTTGATGACTAAAAGTGAAAGAGTCCACTTCCCTGCCTTATCGTGCATGATGTGATCGCAAGCTGCGAACCTGGAGGGTGTAGACGTAGATGATACACTCCATCGTGATACAGTCAAGTCACGAGTTACACAATAAATAGGTATCGCATCGCCATTTTAAGGACCTGAACTGTTCGCCCGTGTTGGTCCTTGATTAGCCAGGTGGTCACATCATGAAAGCGATAGCCCTAGTGAACTCGTCACTTTAAGTATTGTCTTGACTTGCTGAAGTCACTGCTCGGCTACTCCTGAGTAGACTTTGAGACTAGTTAATAAGATATACCAGGAGAACAATATTCCCCTTCCCTAGACCCTGTACTTGTTGTATCAGGTCTGGGACAGGAGCTCTAGATATTACTCATGAAGACGAGGCTTCACAGATCAAGGAAGCACTACACACGCTAAGCCAGATCATTAGCCCGGATCCGAATGGGTCGGCAACGAGCCGAGTTATGTATTTGACTGCAGGAATCCATCAAATATGGTCGACTTTCACAAAATACATATATATTAATAGTTCCGGCGTTGTAGACTAACAGTAGAGGCTCAACACTTGTGCACCTTGTAATGCAACCTCGTATCCTATCCAAAGTGTATCTTGCCAAATATCTTATAGATATTTCAAAAAAGCTATTTGGGGTTACCGATATGAGGAAAGGGGCTTATGGTTATGCTTGTATATCCAATGTCAGCCAGGTTCGCAGTTGCACCAAGCCATCCATACCAGGGGTGAGAGTCGCCGCGCCTTTAACTTGCGGTAGTACATGGACCTAATGTAATATGAGACACTGGATAGCTCTTACTCATAGAGTGACTAATTATAAAGCTGTGTTCAGTGATACAAATAAATCACTGCATGGAGTCAAAATACTTCTCAAACGCCAACCGGATATCAAGGAATTGGTGTTGAGCCCATGTTAGTCACTTACAAGTGCCGTCAGTGGGCGCAATTAGCTCCGAGCTGGCTTCAAGACAACTGACGTCAATATCCTGTTTTACCAAAACATTTTCTTCGTATCAAAGAATTAGATTTGGCCTTATGTTACCGTAGCCCTGTCTTACTCTATGTCACGAGGATGACTTTCAATTGCGCGACCTGCAAACCCCGCCGTAGTAAGCATTCTCTTTACGGATAGATCTGCACAGTCAGCGGTCAAAGCCAAAGTGAGCCTTGAGTCTCGGTACTTGGTATCACGAATGAATCAGTTCCTTGGCTGTTTGAAGTCACTGACTCAATATTTCTTCCATCGAGATCTTGACCATTGCAGTTGACACTGGGCTTATCGTCTTCCCAGCCACCTCTATCCGCTCACCTCACCCCGCCCTCAGCACTGTCTTGGCCCTTTTTAAACTTACAGCATCAAAGAAGCTGGGCTGCATCCTTTAGCTCAGCCATTGGATGGCATCATGGTGAGCTGACCTATCCCATCACTTGCCGGCCCTCCATGGCTTTATCGTGTCCCCCCCCCGCTCCCAATGCCAGCCTTGTTGGAGGAATGCCAATGGAATGTCGCGAGGAGTTTCTGTGCCGCTGTGACGGGGCGTTGGCTTCTTGTACATGAACCTCGGTCGTGTTAGAGCTGCATCAGGCGTTGGGTGGATGGATGACGGTCAGTTGCAGATGTAGCTGCAGCTTGTTCTACCATAAGCTACCTTACCTATCTATGGCCCTCACCTCTTTTGAGCTGAGCTGGGTCTTTGCCTCTCTTCTCTTTCAATTGCCTCTCACCTCTTCGATGGTGAAGGAAGAGCTTCGCTTTGATTACTTATAGTTGACCCCCCACTGTATTGTCGTGTAAGACACAGCCCTCAATATGATTATGTCCAAGCTCTTCGCAGCTTTACCTCTCACCCATGGCGTTATTGCACAATCCGCTGGCACTGGAGAAAAGGTCTGGGCTGCCGTCGCATTCATCAACCATGGCGAAAGGACACCCGTAATAGCCAATCTTCGTACCGTCTTAACACCCGAGGGAGCTCAGCAGATGCTGCGACAAGGAACTGCATTCCGTGCTCGATATATCCCAGACGGCGTGAACGACACCGACTATCAGAGCATTCAAATCGCTTATCTCCAGAATCTCAAACCTGATGTGATTGATAATGACGACCTCGACATTATTACTCAGACAGATGAATGGGTATCGACTGGTGCTCTGGCTTTCATGCAGGGCTTCTATCCACCATCACCCAACGCATTTGATAACAGTACTGGAGGCGAAGAGATTGCTGTGAATTTGGCCTCGAGTGATAACAAGACTGAATATCCTCTAGACGGATATCAATACCCCAGCATTCGAGCTCCTGGTTACTACGACCCAGAATCAACAGCGTATGCTCATTGACCTCTCCCTACCTACATTTGACTAATACAATACAGATTACAAGGCACTTCGAGATGTTCAGCCTGGCAGACAGAGATCACCACAAACCTAACGCAGGAAACCGGTCTCGACGAGCTCTATGATTCAACTCTGCCCTTCTACCAAAACCTCTTCTCTACTGCTCCATTTGATGGCACAATTGACATTGACTACGCCAATCTCTGGAACGCATACCAACTCTGGGAATTCGTTGATTATCAGTATCGACACAATGAGACAGTCCACGAGGGGCTCAAAAACGCAAACTCAACGTTGTCTTTCCTGAACACTTATGCACTATCCATGGAGCGCGCACAAAACAGCTACCGTGGCTCGGACGACGACAGCGAGCTTGGTGCTCTCTACTCTGTCGCTGGCCGAACTATGGCGTACAAAGTTGCATCGCAGTTTAGGAGCAACATTCGCTGGGGAAGCAGCTACAACAAACTCACACTCATGTTTGGCTCTCTCGATCCCATCGTGAGCTTTATTCAACTCTCAGGTCTTGTCACACCGGACAACATGTTTCAAGCGCCTTGGTCAACACTCCCCAAGCCTGGCGCAGCATTGATCTTTGAGCTCTTTGGTGAAGACCCAGATGATCCTGATCGACAGCCAGCCACGGACAGTCTTCGTGTGAGAATGTCCTACCGTGCTTCAGCAGATGCGGACGAATCTTTCCAGAACCAGCCCATCTTCAAGTCTGGTCCTGATGGTATCGCATACTCGAGTTTCATGCAGACTATGAATAACCTTGGAACGTCACCTAACCAGTGGTGCGACGTTTGTGGCCCGACACCTGCTCCTTGGTGCATTCTCGTCAACTCGGATAGCTCCAACTGGGGAGATGACTCTTCAATTGGGCCAGTCATCGCAGGAGCTATTGGAGCAATTATTGCGATCGCTGTTCTGGGTGTTCTACTCATTTGCCTATGTGTCTGCGGCGGCCTTCGATTACGCCGGAAGGGCCCTGAAGGGTCAACAGACGGTGCCGCTGCTGTAGGAGGTGCCGCAGGAGGCTTCAAAGGTCCAGAGAAGAAAGATGGCGATGCGGATGTGGTGGTGACAAATCAAGGCATTCATCATGAGCGTGTGGGTAGCTGGGAACTCCGAAGTCCAAACGAACTACCCCCTCAGACTTCTGGAATCGTGACCAAGGACTTGGGATCTCCTCCTCAGAGACGATCATTGGAAGACAGTGACGACGACATCAGCGTTATGAATGCGGCACCAGTGAAGGCTCGCGAGAGTGTTTGAGTAAGTATGAATGAGTGAATGGAGAAACTATATGGAGGAACTTGGACTGGACGAGGAACTTTGCATGCATGGTTATACCCTTTGATTCTTACAATCGTTCGAGCTATTGATACCTACTGGGATGGATTTTACAGGCGTTGGTATTGGCGAATTTGCATATACACTCGTTTGGAGATGTTGATCATTGGCCATATGTGGCATAAACTGAAAGGACTGTTACTATATAGCAGGTACTCCAAATTGACTGAACTGAGACTATCACTTGAACATAGACTGAGTTTGAACATTGCATGACGAGTGAATGGTTGGATGTTAAGAATAATATCACGATTGTCGTTGAAATAATGATCTCTAGACATCTTGGTTTAGTAAAATGACAGGTAATGGATGTTTATCCAAGGGGTATCTATATCCCACACGCCTCACACAATAGCAAACTCCTCCTCTTCAACCCCATCAAGGTCAAAAACCTCCCCATTCATCATCCCATGAACATAACACTCCCCGACAAGTATCCACGTCCCGTCATCCTTTCTTCTTAGCAAGAACGGTGTTCTACCTCCATACAACACAACGACCACATCTCCAGCTTGCATAATATCCGGCCCAACAACAAACCATCCCCCAAAAGTTATCGCAAAACCTCGATACCGCGTAACAAGCGTTGCTTCATGGCTCCATTTGAACCCGTCTCCCGTCTGCGCAAGCTCTTGTATCTCTGGTGAAACAGCACCGGGTTTATCTAGTGCGCGGACAAGATACGCTGCGCCGTTGGCGAGCCACTCATCCTTGGGAATACTCTCATACGGCCGTGAGCGATCTGCTCCGATACACGCGTTTGTGAGTGTTTGCACAAGGGCGAAGAAAGCTGACTCGCCGTTTCGATAGCGTTGTCGTAGGTTGAAGGGTTGGTTTCGACCACAGATATCTCGCCATAAACCCTCGATAGGGAGGCGAAAAGGGTTATTGCGACGGAAGTGGAAAGCGTTGTTCCAGAATATCCATGATGGTCGACGGATACGATCTAAGCGAACACCGTAAATGTGAAGAGCTCTTGTTTCTTCGTCGATGTATAATTGCGGCCGATACTCCCCTGATGCTCTATGAGGAGTCACAGGTGTACCCATGAGATGTAAAGGCACAACGCGCCAGTCTGGAACCCAAGTTGGTACCTCTCCCCTCTCCATAATTCGTTTCTTGTATGTAGCTGGTATAGCATGACAAGCAGACAAAAGCAGAAGTGATTCGCACCCAGAGAGTTCTCTTACTGCTACATCGTAATAGATATCTTCTATCGATCTGCTATAATCCGCCACCAGCTCTGCAAGGCTTGAACTACCGGTGTGAATGGAGAAGTGGCCGAGAAAAGCATAGACATGGTCTCGAGGGTCTTTGGACAAGAGATGCCTTGCACGATGAAGTTCGTATATGAAGGCTGCGCGGTTATGGTTGACATCGTATGCCTCCTCTGGCTCAACAAAGCGTTGATATAAGTATCGGATGTTAGGTGTAAAGACGGCGAACCGTGAGCGTAAGAAGTGATAGGTCGTATTCAAGATGCCTGCAACTGACGATAGAATCTCCCAGTCAATCTCTGCATCGCCCCAGCAGAGAGTCGCCGGAGCTGCTGTTCCTATTTCTTGAACAATCCATATACGATTAAACTATTCTCGTCAGTATAAGGCATTTCAGTGTCTCTCATAAAACTCACCCATGGCAGCCTCGATAGATTTGAGAACGGCACCCAAGGTTTCCTATCCTGACTCAACAAATCTTCCGAATGGGCTCTTTTGAATTCATTATGCAGCTCCTCATTATTAAACACTCCATGGAGGTAGTGAACCATCTCCATAGCCGCCTGCCCATGCCCTACCTTGTCTTCTCCGAGCCATACCAAGACATGCTTCGCTCCCTTGTAAATAGCATTCATCAGACTGACTTGCTGACTTCGTTCGGCAATATCATCCTGGTTAATGCAGACTTGATCCGCCCATAAGCGTCGCTGTGTAGTTGCATGTCTCATACGACGGAGAGCACCCTCAATGCTCTCTGTTAATGGCAGCGATTTCCCATCGCATATAATCTCAGAGGATCGACCACCTGTGCCCCAGCAATATGAGATGGCTTCATATTGTGGGTTGAGATCAAGATTCTCGAAACCGAGATGACCGACTAATGGGTCATTACCCGTACCAGGCTCAAGAGTGAGAATGCGGATTGTAAAGTTATTCGTGAATGGTATATAGGTGTATGTCTGTGGAGCTGACGGTTCTGATGGATGGACGACATCGGCCATGGATGATAGTAAAGACACAGTCGAGCAATGAGCCTTATTTGTGAAAAGATACCTAGAATGGGACGCTGAACGTTGATGGTGAGAAATGTTATGCAGACCGAAACTTGAAGGCCCAGTTCTTTTAGATCGCTTTCGCGAAACCTCGACCGACGGCGTGGAATTAGTTTCTTTGTAGATCGTCAAATCACTAGCATGAGCTCTTTTTCGAAAAGCACGTCGACTCATTAGTTGAACTGGAGATATAGACTTAGGGGACATTGCAATTATCACTGAACCAGAAACGGAATGACACGGTACTTAATAGAGCCAACGAACGGTTACTGACATCCAACACAGCCACTCGTCATGGTTCTTTTGCGGAGATCCATGCAGGCAGTCTTTACAGACAGTAGGTCAGCGCTAATGTAACCTCAGAGATGCAAGAGGGCATAGTCATAGTACATCACGTAGAAATAGGACAGATCATGGCCTTCAATGTTTAATTTGTGATATCGAGCGGCGGTAGGCCTTTCTATCTAACTATACACAACTTTCCTGTGTCATCAATCGTTCCGAGTGTGAGATACAAACAAAATAGATAATGCGACAAAACCTCGCATGGGCGATTCATCCTTTGTGCCAGGAACGCCTAAACCCATCCCAGTCCGCTGGGAATCCCAAAAGTTACAAATAAGAAAGTAATGAAGCGCTTAGTGCATGTCCTTTTCCCATCCCCCACAGTCCATTAAACCACTCTTTACAGGTCCATGGTAAGTAGTTCTAACCTTGTTGTAACAGCATCACAGCTGGCGCTGATACGTTGCACGCGAGCCATAGCCAGAGCAGAGATACATTCTTCCTCACCGGCATCGACAAGTTCGAGACGGGCAAGGACCTTTTCGGACTCAACACCGCCAAAGATGTCAACATGTGACAGGCCCTCGGTATCAAACTCCTTGGGTTGCTCAGTGGTGGTGGTGGCGGCTTCAGTGTGGAACAGGGCGAATTCAGGGTCAGACTCAAACTCAAGATCGATGGGAGCGGCATCAACAGGCTCAGAAACCTCGGGCTTCTCAACTGGGCGCTCAATGGCGGGCACCTCAAGCTTCTCCTCCTCAGAGTCGAAGATGGGCTCAGCAAAGTTGGAGGTCTTGCCAGAGAGAACAGAAGCGTCAATAGCATCAGGAAGCTCAGGAGTGTCGACGACAAAGACTTGAGGCTGGAAGTTGAAAGAGCCATCAAGGGTGAGCATGGAGAAGTCCATGTTCTGCTCAGGGATCATGGCCATACCAATCTGGTGCTGAGAAGACTGCTGAGTGTTGTAGGGGTTGATGTCCTTAGGCACCTGTCGCTGCTCGGGTTGAGGCTCGACCTTGAGCTGAGGAGTCTGCTGAACAGCGGTAGGGTTGCTGCTGAGGTTGTCCAAGAAGTTGGAGAAAGAAGGCGAAGAGAGAAGCATGCGGGTGAGGTCGGTCAGACGCTTGTTCTCGTCCACGAGAGCTCGGTTCTGAGCTCGGAGGTCACCGTTCTCACTGACCTTGTTGGCAATCTCAGTCTCAAGCTGAGTGATGTATTCTGAGACATGGTTAGCACCGTATTTCGATTAATCGTGACGGAGTAAACTTACCCTTTCTGCGGGAACGGAAAGCACGGGCGGAGACCTTGTTGCGAAGCTGTCGTCGTTCCTTGCTGCTGAGCTTCTTACCCTCCTCGCTGGCCAGGAGGCGCTCATCCTCATCCATCTCCTCTTCGTCCTTCTTGGATCGGGGAAGGTTGGCCATGGGGCTGGTAGCCTGGCTCTCGGGCATTGAGGGCTTGGCTCGCATAGAGTTCAGGAGCTGAGTAATCTTCTGCTCAACAATAGGGTCGGTAGGCTGAGGGGCCTTGCCACGAGACTTGGGCTGCGATGCCTGGCGCTGAGCCTGCTGTTGTTGCTGAATGATCTGCTGCTGCTGTCGTTGTTGTTGCTGAGCCTTGGCAAGAGCGGCTTGGGAGTGAGCACCAGGCCAGAGACGGCCGTTGTTCTGTGTAGGTAGAACGGGTGGTGAAGGAAGACCAGCGTTCTCTTGCTCAATGCTGCTAGGGTCGACAGTGAAAAACTGTTGTGTCTCGGTCTGCGACTCAAAGTCCATATCGATATCCGAAGCACCCAAAGTAGCCTGCGAAGGAGATGTGTTGAAATCAAACAGATCAGCCTCGGGGCTGAAGGTGGTTAGGTAGTCGATATTGCGGAAGTCTTGGTAGCCAGTGTTGTTTGTCTGGTTAACAGCCATGGTGTTGGCAATAGCACCGGGCACAAAGCCGGTCTGTTGTCGGTACATGTCATAGTTGTGACTGGGACCGCTCAGGCTCTGGGCGGTTGTGGTGGCGGGAGCAGCGACAGCGGCTGAGATAGGGCTTGCGAAGGTAGCCTTTGATGTTCCCGATGGTGATAATGAAGTAGCAGGAGACTGGAAGTTATCGTACTCGGTAAGATCGAGGAGAGCGTCGATATCGACGTTATTCTGGCCAGGACCCGACATATTGTTGTATCAGTTCGGCGATACCGGAGGATGTAGTCTTTGATGAGTGAGAGATTGAATTCGTCGCCCAAATGATGATAAGTGGATGACTCGAGTATTGTCGCGATAGATTTGGTATGTTGTGTTATCTTGTTTAGAAGATCGTTGAAAAGTAGTAGTTGTTGAGAGATGGAAGTTCTGTAACAGAAGCGAACGTTTGGAAGTTGAGAAGGGGAAAGATGGAACCAGGCAGACAATCGGGAACTGGGGAGGGACCGTGTTCTATGAATGGGGTGGGTGCCTTGGTCGGCGGTACGTACCCGCCGGGTCCGACAACAAGATCCCCGGCGTGTCAGGGAGGAAGAAGCTGGTGAAAGCCACTGAAGCCCACTTGGAGAATCCACTATAAACATGCTCAAGGCCCCCAACTTCAGGGACTCGGCCCCTGAATTGATTCCATTCGAGCGCTATGAACCGCTAGATCCAGGTCTCTCTGTCAGGTAACGCCGGCCGTTGTCAGGGCTGACCAGGGAGCAGGGATAGATCGGCGGCCGGGAATCCGACTAGTGAGAGAGAGGAGTGAGGACGCGTCAGCTCTTTTCTTGGGTTGTGCAAGCCAAGGGTGGAAGCCAAGGGCCAAGGAGGTGGATAACTCATTGGGGCAGCGCCGTAACGATTGAGGCCAATCAGGATGAGCCTCTGACGACCGAGCCTCTCAGAGACAGCAGCGAGCGTATCCCTGTTTCGCCCTCCGAGGGGTGCGAAGCGAACAAGGTGCGAGAGTCTAGCTCCAAGAAGAGAGCGAAACGAACGAGCAGAGACGTCTGCGGCCTGAGGATGACGACGCTCAACTGCCCCTTTGGGACAGGCTTGGTGCCAAAAAGCCCATGATGGAGGCATTGCGCTGGTCTTTTTGGTTCCTCAGAGTCTCATGGCTCGTCTTTGGCTGCGCTTTTTCGTATGCATTTCTGGTCCATCGTCGACTTCACCTGCAGATGCAGCTACGAGCTTACGTCTCTCATCCTCTGAGGCTTCGTGGCCTGGGCTTAATCTGGTCAAGCCTCAGGTTGATTATTCTTCTGCCTGCGCCTGAATACCAACGTCCCCTCCTGTTTGAGGTTATCAAGCTTGATGCAGACAAAGGCACGGCTAAATAATTCCTCCGCCCAATAGCTCTGGTATGGTTCAATGTGATAAGAGAAGATCAATCTCATCGTCACCGTTAATCCCGGCGGCTGCTCCAACCGGACGGCAAAGCGGCAGCCCATTGCTATCGGTTATCATGGCTGGAATGCTCATCAGCGGCTTGCTACAAGAAGCCTCTGACCAATGATGTGTGAACTCTGCAGACTGGAGCGCAGTAAACAACAAATACCAGCCAATTCACTGATCAGCGTGGGCGGGTAGTGAAACTTGTGTTCCGTCCGACCCGAGCGTGGCTGTACAAAACAATAGAATTGTGCCCTTACACTGGCTGGTATGCTTTCCAAAGCTTGTCTCCTGCTTCTAGAGTCCACTATTACGATGCTCAAGTATAGATGCAGCTACTTTTCCTCAAGCGATGCATTGCCAACTCAGATCATCAGGGAGGAATCGCTGATATGATTCATTTCCCTCGATTCTTTGCTCATTTCAATAAGAAATGAACAGACAAGGTCTTGCCTTACCGTAAAGACATTGCGGGGATGACCATCACCATCAATATCATCTGTCGATTGCACTGCCACCGCCTTCATATCCCAAAATCCCACCACCGCGAGCACAGTCCATTTCAGAAGCCTGAAGAGTCCCCGAGTCCATCCCACTGGCTGCTCCATCTCTCATTGCTCGCTCTTTATTCCTGTTTGCTCACTATTTTTTACTGTGCCACGCTGCTATAATCGTGTAAACCCACACAGTAACATCAGCGGGCACCCATGAGGCTGTGTCGTCGTCGTTATTGAGATGGTTTGAACCACTCATCTTCTCTGGTGGTCTCCGTCGTGCCACAATGAATGACATCGGGTGTTAATAACGCCGTTATGCCGTCGCCGGCTCTAGATGTTGAAGGCACCGAGTAACCTTCGGCGTTTACAGTGCTGCTAGTATCCGTACGGAACGGATCTGTGTTGACATCCAAGCCTCAAACCTGGTTTGTTTTTTTTTCGCCACTCCCCAACCAATGAGTGTTGGATTCCCGTGACAAGACAAACCGATCGACAGTCTCGACAAAAATAGAGCTTCCCAGTTTGTGGTCGCCCTGGCGCTGGCTCAACTGCCGCCCTGACTATCTTCCCCACTGCCCCTGACGATGATGGACAATGACATTATGACACAAGAGGATACGGCGTTTGCCGTTATTGTGAGTTTCATCCAAAACGCTTTGCTATGCATCGACCGAGACTTGTTTCACAAAACGACGGTTCTTCTTTCGTCGACAGTGGTTCTGTCACTTCATCCCACATACCGGAAGCCTCGAACAAGCTTTGGTTAGGGGGTTTTGCCGTGGCGGGAGTCTCGAATTATGGTCGATCGACTGATTATCGGTACCAGGCTTGAAACATCTGGTTCACGTTACGACTCGAGGGTTTACCCCTTTTGGGCTTGTTCTTGAATTCTCAGCCATCTGCAAATTCTGATCTGAAGTTCTTGATTCAACCTTGTGCCAAGACTTCGCTTTCGCTTTACTCAGATCTAATACAACTGCCGGCGGTGATGAGAGCTTAGTTTTGACGATCCTGGCCAAAGAAGATTTTAGCATTGATAAAATTTCGCATGGTTTAAAGAGCACAGCCCATGCAAATTAGCTACTTTGGTATGCTGGTCTCGGCGTCGCCTAAAGTTCTGAACTTTTCCAGAAGCTAGATCGTTAGCGACTCCAGTTCCAAACCGCAAGCACATAGCCTCTGCCAAGACCGTGATAAGGTAAGATGCAATGAGATTTCAAAACTGTCCATGCTGTAATAAAAATAGCTCCATGTGAATGTTTCTTGCGCCTCGATGAATTCAAGATCAAGACGGTTCAAGGTCACATGCATAATCACGTGTCTTGGTTCACGTGATCATGAAACTGGTTAGCACGTGATTGGCTCCGTGAGACAGCCTGACTCTAGTTTCAGCCTCTTGAGGCCATCCATCAATGGCCCCATTCGCCTGCATCTGCATGCATTTGGAGAACCTCGTCGGAGCCTTACGCCCTACAACCGTGCGCGCCCAACTGCACTCGCGCCTGAACAGTCGTGTCTGACATATTCCTCGCCCGGCCAAAGTGTCAACTGGAACGCGCCTATCGGTTTGTATATACCGTGTCTGTCTATCTGTGCCTTGTTGCGACTCGTGAAAGATTGAAACAGTTTCGGCCCGTCACATTTCGTTGTTGCATCGCATTGCATAGCATAGCAGAGTATTGCGCGGCATCGCACGCATCGCGACAGCCTATTCTTCTTTGCTTGTGTTCTCCAACTTTGAAGATACGGTTACCACCCTTGCACTTGCAAACAGGTACTGCAAAGAGTATCGTCCTCTGCAAACATATCGCGTTCTACCAGGCCTCAGAAGGTCCTATCAAGTTGCTATTTCAGTTCCCTCGTCGGAACATATCAACTGGAAATCTATCACTCGCCACTATGGTAAGCTGACCATAGCCGTACAAAATGGGGAGAGAAAAACGAAACCTGCCCGCGGCTGTGGCAGGTGGCCCAAAGGAGAGGCATAGACGTGCACAAAGATCTCAGTATGATCATACAGCACCTGTCCCCCCTGGCTTTGTTGCCAAACCAGCTCTTCCAAAGACAACGAAACATCACTCGTACTTCGAGTTTGTTGAAAACAAGGATAAAAAAAAGAAGCTTGAATTCCAGGTATAATGCGACTGTTGCGCAACGAGGTCATCACAGCACTCACCACCATGTATAGATTACTACAAAGAAAACACCCCCTCCTGGTTTCGAGTTTGTCCCTGCCGGCAACCCTGAACTAACTCAAGCATGCAAAGAACTATCACGAGAAAAAGATGCCATGATATTTATCGTATCGGTATGCAAAACACAGATGTATTGGTCTCGGCCGTCTGTTACTAACCTGGCCACATGAAGAACGCAAAAGAAGCATCCGGCTCAAATATCTTGGCTCACCAAGTCCATCGCATTGGACATCATGTTAGAGAAACAATCGTCGAGGAAGCCCGCGCGGGTCTAGGACATATCATGGAGAACATGCTTCCAGCAGCTCGCGGCGCCCCCGAACCCATTCCCGAATCTCAAGAGGAATACGATGCACAAGTTGACGCTGCATTACGCGATTTGTTTCCCAGAATTCCAAACACCGATCGACAGATGATCATCGAACATGCTTTTAGACGGGTTTGTTCTCCCTGACACCTTTATACAGATAAGGTATTTATTATTATAGGATCCAACGAACAAAAACAACAAGGAAAAAGTAGGCCTTTCGGATGACATAACCCTCGCTCGAAGGGTTCAACTCGCAGTGCTCGCTCACATCCGTCATACCCATACAAGGTATGATACTTTGCTAAGGGAGACCACGTGGCAGAATGCTCGCAAAGTTGTCGAGGCTCTTTGTTTGGACACCCTCGTCAAGTGGCGAGGAGATGAGGAGAGCGGTCGGGACCAGCTGGATGAGATATTGAGGGAAGTTGTTGTGATATCCGACTCAGAAGGTGAGGAATCCGGCAACGAGTCCGACTCATCAATCGAAGAGGTTGTGTGTCAGTATACGAATCCCATTCCCAGCAGGCCTGTACAGAATATCTCTGGCCAGGCGGGTCCCGGTCACCACCAATCTCCCAGACCTAACCAGGGCGCACGAACGCCCGCCACGCCCAAGCCAAAAGGAAAGGTGAAGAAAGCAAAGCGTAAGACATCCGCCGAGAAGAAAGGACAGCGCGGATTCAAACGGTACCAAGCATGGCAAGAAGCCATTGACAGAAACCGCAATGTACAAGAGCCAGCTCCCCAATCTCCCCAAGGGCCATCTCCTCAGTATACCCGTGGTCCCCCGCCGCCTACGGCTCTGGTCCCTTTAGGTGATGAGTTGCCTGCTGCATCCCAGCTCAGAATTGTTTCTGGAGGTGCGGGACCTGCACCCTATGAGAACGGTTATGTCGGGAAACCTCAGTATCCCGCAAATGGCCATTTTATAAGTACAGGGCCACAAGTTGCCCGCAAGGTAAAGTCACCATTTTATGACGCGCCACCTAGCACTCATCCGCCTGTGTCGAGAGTGGCCGATCGGCTACAGGATATGTTGGTGCAATCCATTGAGCCAGCGTCTCCTGATACTATGAAACCGTCCTTTGTGCGTGCAGTACCCCCTCGGGGACAAGGCTTCAGAAATGAGCCCCCTATGACCACCAGTATGCAGCATCCAGTTATCATATCTTCTCCATTGCGAGGCCCTCTTACAAGAGGCGAGCCCATGGAAATATCACGACCTGTAATGGGTGAACCGTTGGTTCATGGAGATAGGCCCTACCAAATCCCTGGCCACGATCCCTCACCACCCCGTGGTCACATATTCGATGCCCCTGCGCATCGCTATAATACAAGATCTCATGGAATACCTGCTCCTCCGGCTCCTTTGGATCCTTCATATCGTTATGATACAAGATCGCGTGGAACACAGAACAACCCAGCGAGGATTTTAGTAAGTCGTCGGCCATATGACGAGCCACAAAGACCAGGAATTCGTGATACCCCAGTTGTCATGGAAGATCGTGGTGGGTTCTATGAACGAGTCCCAGTTCATTCAACTGGAGACGTTCCAGCATCATCCCGTGATGAAGCAGGGCCTGGCTCGAGGCTTGCTCCGGAGCCATATAGAGTTGCAAGGGAGCAACAGGCGGCCCCTTGGCAGGAAAACTCCCGGCTAGTACCAGGCAACCGAACCAACGCAGACACTGAGATGATCCCCATCAATCGCGTGTCTCTGGAAGATCGATATCGCCCTATTGTAACGGACAATCGGGCCAGACCAGCTCATGTCCCTGTGTCTTCAGGAGCTCGAGGTGATATTAGAAGTTACTTTGAGCGAGACTCTCGTCCCATCCGTTATAATCCACCTGGCCCAGAGCCTCGTCCGGTCATAAATGAGCCATTGGCACCAGGCTACGAACCGTACCGCGAGGTGTAAGCAGAGTGTGGCTCGTCAAATCAGAAAGACACTAACACGATATAGTCGTTACGAAGAACGAGTACCCGAACCCTTTCAACATCGGGAGCCAGTGCATCGATACTACCGAGAAGAGCCCGTTGTTGCAGGAGACGGTCGACCTCGGCCTCTACACCCGCGTCGAATGGAGGATGTAATTGTGCTTGAGTAATGCTGCAAGATGATTTAGAGAATTGCGGATACTGTTTGTTTTGCTCATGATAATGCATGTGCGTAAAATATTTGAGCGCGTTGAGCATGGAAACAGGCGTTGGAGGTTACATTGTTGATATTGCAGTCCGGCAAAAGCGATTGTGATGGAATGAACTTTGGACGATGGCATGATCTGATGATACCCCGATCGGAGGAAAGACTTGACTACTACAAGAACTAGTATTTGAATTGTTAGACATTTGGACGAGGCCTTTTACTCCCCATAATACGATGATGAACCGTATACGAATGGACTTCATAATTGCTCGACTTTTATTTACCCTAAAACAACCCATGATCTAAACTCGAACTTGAAAAATAAAACGAATGCCGAAACCTCATGACGCATGGAATGGGTATAAGTATGGCATCTAGTTGCGTCCTCTCCTAGGCTTTCCCACGCCAGACACTCCATGTCTCTTCTCAACACCAAGCCCCTTTCGTCCTGCAGCAATGCCTCCTCTTCCACTCTTTCCACCACGACCGGCTCCTCTACCGCGGAAGCTTCCACGGCTACCCCTATCCCGTCCAGGGCTGATCCTGCTCTTGACTGCCGCAACATCGTTGTCATCCATCTCAAAGTCCTCGTCATCGTCGTCCTTGGTGCGACGGTTGGAGAACTTGAGCTTGCCTCCGCGACCGCGCTTGGCGACGTCCTTGCCCTTGAGAGCGGCGACGTAGGCACCAACGCCTGAAGCCTCAGGGTTGGGCTCGTCGACGTCCATGGCACCCTCGTCGTCACTGTCCTTGCCGAGGATGAGCTTGCCGTCGAGGTCGACCTTGGCCTTGGTGCGTGTGGGCTTGCGCATCTTAACAGGCTTAGTAGAAGAGATGTTGGCCAAGGCCTTCTTGTCGAGCAGATCGAGAGGTTCGTCGTCGTCTTCAACAATATATGTCTTGCCACCCTTCTGGGCCTTCTTCTTTTGCCTAGGAGCCTCATCGTCGGATTCACCATCATCATCATCAGAGTCACTGCTGTAAAGGGCCTGGTCGTATTCGTTCTCGAACTGGCGCTTGGGCTGAGCCTCGTCGTCGTCACTATCGTCACCGTCATTCTCACCCTTGGCAGCATCCTTCTTCTTCTTGGAACGTTCCTTGGTCTTGCGGATGTTGACGATCAATTTCTTGTCGTCATCAGGTGTGTTCTTGTGAATATTATCATAACCAAAGCGACGGACCATGCGCTCCAGAATATGCTTGACCTTGGCCTTGAAGTGACCCTTGTGCTCATGACTCCAGACAATGAGGTTGGGCACGAGAGTTGAGAGACGAGGAAGCATGAGCTCGACAGGGAGGCCAATAACGCAGACCTTGACGAAACCCAAGCAGCTCTTGACGATCTCTCGGTTGTTGGAAGTAAGGAAGAGATCCATGGTCTGGACCAAGTCAGATAGAGTAGCGTCACTCAGTTCGCTTCGGAACTCATATAGAAGTCGGCTGATGGCCGTAATAGAAGCTGAGATCATGTGAGGTGTGCTGCCAGCCAAACCAGCGCTGACCATAGTGAAGAACTCCTCGATATTAGCGGTTCCAGCAGGGGCATCGTCGGGCATGTGAGGAACCTTGCTGTTGTCGATGGATGTTCCATTAGCCTGCACCATACGGTGTCCCATGCGAACCAGGAGCTCATATGCTGTCTCACGGGCACGCTCATTGTTCTCCTTGCAAGAGATGACAACTTCGCTGAGCACAGCAGGAATGAAGTGAAGGGAGGTGTCGGGAATGAAAGGTAGGAGGGCGATAATGGCAGCAAGGCGCTCTCGTCGAGCAGGAGCTGAGACCTTCTCGGTGCTAGAGAAGATAAGTTGCTGGAGCTCAGCACTTCTCTCCTGAAGAGCAGCCTTTCCGACCTCAGAATCCGCTAGGCGAGGAATGAGCTTGTATGCCTTCTTCTGAAGTTGAGGCTCCTCCTCCTTGTTGATGATGACTTCGGCAATCTTGAAAAGAGCGGCGAAACTTTCCCTGGGGAGATAAACGGACATTGTGATGACGAGGTCCATCAATGTCTGGGCTGTTGAAGGCATGTGATCCTTGGACTTCTGGCTCTCCTTCTTCTTCTCCGCTGGCTTCTCCTTCTCTAACTCAGTGGCGAGCATAGTGCTGACTCGGTCGAAAGTCTCCATCAACTCAGTATTGGGTGTGATGCTAAGGAAGGTGTTGATGGTCTGAAGGATGGGGCCCCGGCTTTGGGGGAGAGTTTGCGTGTAGACGTTGAAGAGGACTGCGAGCATGTTGCCTGCAAAGTTGGAAAGGTACTCAAGATTCTTCTTGGCATCAGCGCGGCTGACTCGGCTCTGAAGAACGAGATCCTCCTCCTGGTCCTCAATATTGGCAATAGCTTGGTTGGACTCGATCAGAGTCTTGAGCGCCCTGCAAACATCCAGTCGCAGCTCAACTTGCTTGTACAGGAGGTTAGCCAAAATCTCGGCGAAGCCCTGGTCGAAAGCCTCGGTAAGATCCAGAGGAAGATCGCAGTAGCCGGGAAGAGTAGACCAGATCTGCTGGACAACTGTTTCGTAAATCTTGACCTCCATTGTCTTCTCAGCCTGCCCATGGTCAAGAACCCTTTGAAACATAACCTCACTGAGAGGAACCATCTCACTTTTGAAGTGAGCTAGGTTTGTGTTGCTAGTGTAATCTCGTAGAATAGGGAACATCCAAGCACGGCCTGGCTGGCCCTTTGCTGGCTTTGCGAGGTTGAGAGGGAGAATTGAGAGAACAGCCTCGGGACCCATAGCTCGGATAGCCTTTCCAATAACATCGTCAGCCTCCTTCTTGTTGCGGAAAGAACCGTTTTCTCGGATTTCGCCGATAGTCTTCGTGACGTTCATCATGATAGGATAAGACCTCCATCTCAAAGTATCGAATATCGCTCCCAAAACGTTGAAAGTCTGGAGCCAGGCAGCCTGGAACTGAACAGTCAAAAGAGACTCTGCTGACTTGGCCAGCTTCTCGAGAACCTTCTCGTCGAAAATTGAAGGCTCAAGGATAACATTTTGAGGGATACAGTTGGCCATGAAAGACACTAGACATTCTGAGGCGGAAATTCGAATATTCTCGGAGGGTGCCTCGAGGAACTGGGCGACCATATCGAACAGCTGGGGGAGGTTCTGAAAAGTCTCCTCAGGCTCGACCTGGGCGGAAACATCGTATCCTCGGGACAGAATGGCGAGCCACGGGGGAACAAGCTGGGTGTCGTTGGCAGCTGGTCGCAATTCGGAGATAATTTCCATAAGTCGTGGGAGCTTGGCTGATGAGACCTCATCTGTCATACCCTCGAAGATCATCTCAAAAATTTCGAAAGACGCCATGGTCATGTACTCGTTTCCGCTCTTTGCGATGCCCAAGAGGAGCTCGCATAGAGACTCGATCTTCTTGCTAGGCCAGCCACCACTGGCAGCCGCAACAGTCTTGACCAGTTGAAGAGCGTGGATCATAGCAGGGTCATGGCTAACATCGGCCTTCTTTCCCTTGCGCGCCTGCGCAATCTTGCCGGCGAGATCCTCGAGGTTCTTGGTAGCAGTTTGGGCGCACATGTCGGCAGCAGGGTGATCCAGGGAGGGGCTCGGAGGCGGGTTTCGAAGAACCGTCTTCAGAGCATCTTGCGACCTCTTTCGCACCTTTGGTCGGTGGTCAACAGACATGTTCAAGAGTCCAGCAACAGCTCGTCGAGGACCGATTTGGGAGACAGAAAGCTCCCAAGAAGCGGCATCCTGGGCCAGAAGAAGAGATTCGAGACATCCTATGGACGATCGCAACAACGGGGCTTCGGCATCCTGCAACAAAAGTACGGGGGCGAGAAGAGTAAGAATCTGTGTAAACTTGGATCGGAGGAGAGGTTGGGGGGCATAAGGCGTAACGACGTCGAGAAGGTAGACGACGGGAGTCGCCAATTCTGGATTCACGGTGTCATTGCTGTTCGCCTGCTGAAGAAGGGCGAGAAGAGCGGCAAAGTATCCTGTTGGCGTAGGAGCCGTGTTCTGTTCCTTGAGAGTCGACTCGACGGCCTGAAGTACAACGACAGTCTACAAGCAAAAGTTGTTAGTGTGCGACTCAAGATTGAAGACGCTGGAAGTGAGAAAGTAAAGTAAAACATACCCTCTTCTGACTCTGAAGTCCAGGGGACTTGATCTTGTCCAGCTTTTCAGCTAGAGAAGGGGTCGCCATCTTGATTCTGAGCAATTCAATGCGCAACCACCAACTGGATTAATCGTTCGGTGAAAAGAGACCCCAGCCAAAAATTCCCAAATTTTTACTTGCTTATCGCACCCCGCTGAACCGATAAGGATTTGATGTGGGCTTCCTTAGTGGAAGCTAAGCCACATCTGGCATCCTCCCCGTTATGAAGATGTGGCGTCAGCCTACCGCTGTATCCGAGCGCCTACGTACTGGGCTGTAGCTGTGCCCCTCGGAGCTGACCTTGGGTAAGGTGTTAGCAGCTCGCGCCTCTCGTTCCTCAATCGCAAATACGTCTATAGCCTCGATTTCTCTTCCATCTTTAGAGAAACATCATGGCTTTCCTCATTCTTGTCATAGGAGACCTCCATATCCCGGATCGGGCGCTCGATATTCCCGCCAAGGTACGCGCGGTGCTTCCAAGGTCGCGCGCATCGCTAACAGCGTCTCTGTATCTGTAGTTCAAGAAGCTCCTCTCTCCCGGAAAGATCAGCCAGACGCTTTGCCTCGGAAACTTGACCGATAAGCACACGTACGAGTACTTGCGATCCGTCTCCCCCGATCTGAAGATCGTGAAAGGCCGCTATGACGTCGAGGCCACTTCCCTGCCATTGACACAGGTTGTCACCCACGGAAGCCTTCGAATCGGATTTCTAGAGGGCTTCACACTTGTCTCTAATGAGCCTGACCTTCTTCTGGCTGAGGCGAACAAATTGGATGTGGATGTTCTGTGCTGGAGTGGCACTCACCGCTTTGATGCCTTCGAGTATATGGACAAGTTCTTTGTAAATCCCGGAAGTGCGACTGGCGCATTTATAGAGGGATCGGGACTGGAAAGCGAAGAGCCTACACCAAGCTTCTGTTTGATGGATGTATGTGCTTTACAAACTGTCTGTGTTTGAGTTTGTTTACTGACTACCCTAGGTCCAAGGCATTTCACTCACCCTATACGTCTACCAATTACGAAAGGACGACAAGGGCAATGAGAACGTGGCGGTTGAGAAGGTTACATACACAAAACCAGTTGAGCCTTCAGCGGGAGGGTCATCATAAAATTCATATAGATAGGGGGAGTTTACATTCAGCGACGTATTCAAGATCAGCAGCAGAATTTATACCCAGTCACACTCTGGAAGACCACGAGACGGGACTTTCATATTCAACAAAGCATCAATTGGCAAGACGAACTGCCAAATGTTGACCAATTGGGTTTTGTGTGTGTCCAATAAAGACATTAAAACTGTAAATACAAATATTGACAAAAATAAACACCATTATCCATCGCTTTGTAGAGGTATCTTGGGCATGTGACCAGTCTGTATGATCCAGCGAAGCAGTATCAGCGCCGACAAGCAACATACTCCTTTTGAAAAAACAAGAACAACAAATGAGAAAAACGCCCAAATGCTCTACCGAACTCCCGCTATCGCAATATGTATCATTACAGCATCATACTCCTTCGCCTAGATGAAGCGCGCTCCCTAGCTCCAGCGCCATCCTCAGCGTGAACCGCTGAAGAGACACGCCGCGAGGGCCGACGAGCAGTGACCTTCTTCTTGATCTCGGCAGGAACTTCTTCGTCATTTTGTGGTGATGAGGGTGTGAATTCATAAACATCAACTTCGCTGACACCAGTAGTGTCAGAAGCCGTCTCCTCCTTGGCTTCTCCATCTTCGTGTGAGGTTTCGCTGCCGGCAACAATGTCTTGAATCATCATAGAGGTGCGTCTTCCGCCACGTATAGTTATAGGTTTAGGGACCTCAGGAGATGATCCTTTGCCAGCCAGAGGGCTAGCGGGAATGCTACCAGGCTCGTTTTCTGTGTTGGTGGCGTTGGCATTGGGCAGATTCTTCCATGACTCTTCAGCACTGCTCTCACGCTTCGTTCTGGCTGTATCTGGGGCTGGCTCAGCTACACTAGACCTCCGAGCATATTTGCCTTCTCCAGCAACAGCGTCGAGCATCTCCTTGGTGGGCCGTCGCATCTTGTCTCTAAGGTTAGGCTCTGCATAGCTGACTGCGGTCCTATTTCGTCGGCTGGGCCTTGCTGGTTCTCTGCTCGCATTGACGTCGCCAGGTGGAGGTGTTCCTCCTCGTCCAGGTTCCTGGGATGCGGCAGTATCTGGCGAGTTGGGCGAGAGAAGGGCTGGGTCTGTGAAAGGTGTTGTGAGTCCGCATGGCACCTCTACAACTTCAGGGGCTGTAGGAGGCTCGAGGGCAGTTTCGATGGTGATAGGAGCCAAGGTCTTGGATTTGGACTTAGGCCGCTCTTGAGAAGCCCTTGATCTCATGAGATCCGCTTTGGCTGCAGCGACTTCATCGGTCACAACTGGTTTGGAAATCTTCTTCGGCGAGGTCAAATCGTCGTTGGTGCTCTTGGCTGCAAGGGGCTTCCTTGTGCCTGTCGCACTCGCCTTTTCACGAGCATCCTTTCTCATACTGCTTAGTTCTTTCAATGTTCGACCTCCAGCCTTCTCACGGATTGAAGGCTTGTCAATAGTGTTTCGTGGGGGCTCGTTTTCGTTGTTCGCCCTCTGGGATCTGCTCGTAACCATATCATCTCGAGCGGCGAGCTTTCGTTTTGATCCGACCTTGACTGGTTGAGGTTGAGGTACTGGGGTTTCATCAACGATTTCCTGCACCTTAGTCTCGATTGATCTGGTTGCTAAGGGCTTTGCCTTGACTGGCTCCGTTTCCTCAGGTTTAGTGATCTTCACGTGTTGCTTCTTTTCGGGCGAGGGTGATCTCGGTAAGGTCTTGGTGGTCTGAGGTGATGTGAGTTTTTCGGGTGGTGCGAGTTTCCTTGTGGGACTTTCTTGTGCGGGTGCTGGTGTAGTTGTTGGTGAAGGGCGTGAGCGAGTTGGTGAGTCAATCTTGACTGGCTCCTCTTCCTCCTCGATAAAATGGGAGACGGGAGGAGGTCCAATATCTGGTGACTGAGATGTGTCGGCCATGTCATCGTTGTCGGCCTCTGACCGCAGCGCTAAGATTTGTTCTTGGCTGTATATTGTTAGAGAGCTTCTATTTGTCTGGATGGGATGACTTACTTCATGGACTGTCTCGGGTAGGACTTGGTTTCTGAAATATGTCCCAGTTCCTCAATTTCACGGGCCATATCTCTAAGGCGTCGCTGTGAAGGACTGGGTCGAGCTGAGCTGAAGCTCACCCTGGGCTTTGTTGACTTTCTTGGTCGTGGAGAGTGCCGCTTCATAGGCGGCTCAAGACCAAGACCAGCAAGAAGGGTACCCCATTCTGTAAGTTGGGACTCTAGCTTTGCCTTGATAGCAAGCGCATGATCAGCAATTCGTCGAGTGTCGTTATCCTCAAGCTCTTTCTCTAGCTCTATGATACGGCCTCTCAGCTCCAGGTTCTCTGATAGCATACAGGCGCAGTCATTCTCGAGTTCTCGGATGCGGAGGGCACGTATGTTGTTGGATTTTGCAAGATCGCGGTTCTGACGTAGAAGCTTCTTTCGAACTAGATCACAAGACATGGTCAGCTCGCGTCATGTTACTCATAGGAGTTCTAGATGTTGGAACATACGCGTTTCGAGACTGTCCGTAGACACGGGGGGTTCGTTCAGTCTAGCCATAGCTCATAATGCGATGGATCGTGACAATGTGAGCAAAGGCTTCCTGTGGAGTTAGTAGGGACGTTGCTGATATGCTCTCGCACAAGTCACAGAGTGTTGTTGGGTGTCGGTCTGAAAAAGGGAATTTTTGGTTGCATCTATTTACTGTCGTAACTGTTTTTGTCATAGCGCTTGGTTACCGGTTGCCCCAGTGACGGAACTCCCCACGTTGAACCCCACCATCGTTGGACGGAAACGCAGTGTTCGACTTTACTGCTAAAGACGTCGCGAATTATTCCAAGTTTGGTGACACGCCTTAAATACGACCATGTCATATCCAACGCGACCGATTTCCTCGCATATGCGCGCACCGAGCGCGTCGGCTTCATCGAGTGGACAGTCACCAGCATTATTAGCGCGAATCGAGGAGAAAAAGGCCGAGCTCGAAAACCTCAAAGAGCTTCGAGAGCTCAGCGCAGCGGTCGCAACACAAATGGAAGCTTTGGAACAGAAACTCTCGACTCTTTCCGATGGAACAGAGGGTAATGATCCTATGTGAAGTTGTTCAGTGCTTAGACTGACTCTCAGTAGCAATTGCAGCCGTTGTTGGAAACTGGCATAATGTGCTACGTGCCATCAGCATGGCTTCTTGTAGGTTCTCAAAAGTTTATGGCTGTTGATTTTGTCTAACTTTCCAATAGCTAAATTAGCCAAGACGGCAGCCGATCCTACAAACGCATCGGAAGATTCAACAGGGCCTCTGCCTCAAACTCTAGTCCGAATTCCAACAGAACATGCACCAGCTCTGCAAGCCCAGGCAGAAGCTGCAGAAGCCGCAGCCGAGGAAGAAGAGTCATGAACAGACTTGATCATGGTCAAAACTTACGAAAGTCGACATATCTTCCGGCAGTCTGTAGGGTGCCTTGCGATTCATGGGTGCTTCTATGGGGATATGCTACAGGCAACATCTATTTGATAGACACCGCAAGCTCCTTGCCACCTCCACGAGGTTGATTTTGGATATTGGCATCCTTGAGCCAGGCAGCAGCAATCACTTGCAGTTCCCAACTATCCTCAGCACAGTATTCTGCGATCACGCCCCGATGATAAGATGATGCCTCGACTGCCACCCGGGATCTATAGGACGGGTGAAGTCATGTCTGGGAGGGGGCTTCCGGATGAATAAGTGTTCATCACGAAGGATAAGATTGACACACAGAAATCAGGCTTGTTTTCAGAAGACACCTAGATTTCCCGTCTCTGGTGATAAGTTCCCAAGCCAAAGGCACCAGGATGCTGGGGGAACTTGGGGTGATCCTTGAGGAGGGGGCATGCATTCACCTGTCAGCGCTGGTTCACTGATCCCAAGTCTGGCTGAAAAGAGGCAACAGAAGTGGTTTCGATTCGAGGACGATCTAATGAAGCCATCGCAGGTCGATCGAGAAATCCAAGTGTATTTTAGCTTATGAATTTCTTGCTACAGTAGCTCCTAGAGGATAGCTAGTCGGTGTAGTTCTCAGCATTGGTATGGAGTGACGATACAGGTGGCTATATACTTCATGTCGTCTTCCATGGCTAATTCCCCAAACCTCCTCTGGACTTTCTAGTCAGGACAAAGAAAAATTACGTATTCATTGCAAGTTTACTGGCTTAATTTGAGCCCTCATGTGAAACTTTTACAGCAATCATAAATATGATAGTATAATTGTGGATATTTACTTGTGTTTGTCATTTGGAACTGCATATGCAGCAGAAGTGGATCTCATAAACTCATGTCAATACCCTAGGCAACGAAATAAGAGCCCAAGAATCCAGAGAATGATGGTCCAGAACGCGGGAGGCTTGGTATGGACTCCAAGATTCCAAAGACTTGATAAAGTTTAGATGTTGGCTGTCCTAATCAGCGGGTTTACCTATATTTAACTGTCTAATAGGCTAGACGCAGTACCGAGATGATGATTCTATTTAGACACATCTGGAGCTGAAGTGATTATAACCCACCTGGAACTTATGTATGTATGAGCTGCACAGTGGGACTCCCGCTCTGGGGCAGTCATCTTATAAGTTGACCAATGAGACGCGACTTTGAGTTCGTGGAGACAAAGCCGTTGAAATTGTGAAATGATAGACATGACTCGACAATTGATTTATGAAGGTTACAGTTATGGATAGAGTTCAGATGGCGTTTGGCCGCTCAGTTTGTACGAATAAAGAGATTTATTCGAAATGCCTGACGAAGGTAATTAATAGAAGGCATAGCCTGTAAGTGCGAAAGACTGTAGTAGGATGGCAATATGCAGGTTTGCGGTTGCCGTGGCTCTTATTGTTGTTGTTTTTATTGACGTTGCCTAACTTACAAGCTTTCTTCCCCTTCCCCTCCCCATCATCAACATCAGCAGCAGCATCTCTCCCCATTCACCATTGCTAGATATTTTGGTCGTTCCCGGTTTCATCAATTTTGATCACATCACATCACATTGGCCTCTACAATATCACACTCAGACAAGGCCCCGCTGTTGGCCGTCGCCTTGATACATACTATTATCCCTGCTACTCGTGAAATTGCGCTCAGGTCCCTAGCTAATATTCCCTGGAATTTGAACACCTGGTGGCGCCTCAATCTCTAATCATTGTCTCTCAAGAGCCTCTCACAGCCCAGCCCTGGCTTTCTAGCCTCGCTGTTAGCCTAGGGGTCTCCCTTGGCTCCATCGAGAACTCCATCCAAGAGGCTCATTGTTCAGAGGCCATCCATATCCATATCCGCATCCATGGCTACTGTCATGGGTCATCAACCCCAAGTCCACCGTGCCACTAACGAGGCCCTGGCCTCTCCAGGGCCCGAGGCCAGCCAGGATGTTAATTTCATCGAGCCCAATTCTGATACACGTCCCTCTTCGATCCCCTCTCCCTCTCCGTCATCTCGAGGGATTCTTCAAGAGCTTTCAGCTGATCAAGTTCATAACAAGAGTCTTGCTTGGAACTCGTCTCGAAGGGAGAACAACCAAAACCAGCAATTGTACTTGAAGACTAGTCCTATCAAGCTGCCGACAAAGACGAACCCATCTCGAGGGCCACGGCGCTCACTCATTGATTCTGACAGCTTCGAACTCCTCGATGCGGTTCCTGAAGAATCAATTGAATCCAGCGACTCTGATACTGCGCCCAGTGGGCCTTCAGCTTTAACTTCACACAAGCTACGCTCTCCAGGTTCGTTTCTTACGTCTTTCATCATGACTCCAAGTCACAGCTTGCAAATTTCCTTCGCTATTTGTACAATCTGCTAACACTGCTCACAAAGGAACCACTGTCAATTCACACCCGTTGTTGGATGCAGAGCCTCAAATTGGACACAACTTAGAGAGTCATCTAGCAGGTCAGTTTGAATGGCTTCTGGCGTTTCCAGTGCCAGCAAGTACCGCCAAGGACCACGGGTCTTCCGACGACAGTGAGAACGATCGCCACGACGTCGAGATCGCGGTTCATGGCTGCACTTTGCTGTCACGCCGTCCGGACCCCGCCGGCAATTCTGAAGCTGACGTCTTCAATCTTCTAGCCACACCATTGATTGCTGCGGAGTATCTGGCTTTGGGATTTGATCCTTCTCAAGTTAAGATGGCATTGCCTCCGCCTCCAGCATATGAGCTTCATCAAAATGTCCCACTTAAGATTCCCGAGGTCATTGAGACGGTAGAGCCTGTTTCGCCTTCTCTTACTTTGATTAGTGAGAGAGGCAGTAGTTACGCAGGCTCCTCTAGGACCGGATCCTTCTCGGTGCCTCGAATCGAGGACTCTTTCGAGGAACTTGATAAACTTGAGGATGAGCTCGAAGCCATTAAGGCTTTCACCCAACCACAACGCATTCCCGTGCCTGAGAATACTGCGCCCAGTAATAAACATCTCGAGCCACCCTCCACGGGTAAGAAGCCGACCGTTTCGAAGAGAGCATCAGTCATCGGCATGTCTTCCACAGTCCGTATCAAGCAGACTGAGAGACCACAGCTTCCTCTTCGACGATCAACCTCTCTGGTATTTAGAGACAAGAAGCAGGACGACTCTGACAATATGCCAAATTTGAAACCACAGACTGCACGCGGAAAGCTGACCAACTCTCAATCCGCACCATTGAAGGCGCCTGTCAAGTCTACGAAGCCTCCTACTGTCCCCAACTTTGAGCTTCCTGGTGAGGCTGTCTCTCGACGCCTGAAGGAACAGCGCGAGGCTCGTCGAGCCCAACAGGCTGAGGCTCAGAAAGCTTATGCGCCTCCTCCGAGACCAAAGTCTAGTAAACCACTTACCAAGCCGAACTTCGAGCTTCCGGGGGAGGCGATCTCTCGCCGTAAGCGTGAGGAGCGTGAGGCCCGGCTCAAGGCACAAGAAGAAGAGGAACAAAAGAAGCGGGAGTTCAAAGCGAGGCCTGTGCGTCATAGTTTAATGCCGGGTAGCATTCCGCGAGAAACGATTACCAGTCTTGCTCGACAAGGCAAGCTCCCGCAAGACGAGGCAACTAAGACATCAACCTCAACTAAAGTAAAGCGGATGTCAATGCAGGGCCCAAAACCACCCACCATGTCAGAGGCTCCGGTTACCCAGAGTCGAGGTCGCCTTTCCACTGCTACATCACGAGAAGATCTTAGCCGGGCCACCTCAACTTCTACAGGAAGCGGCGGTGGAAAGCGAACTACACTCACTGCAGAAGAGGCTTATCAACTGAGACTTCGTGGGAAGGAGATTTTTCAGCGAGACAACACAAGCTTCACACGAGACAGGGAGCGTGAGAGGCGCGAACGTGAAGAAGCAACACGCCTTGCTCGCGAGCAGGCTGCGGAGCGCTCTAGAATTGCGAGCAGGGAATGGGCAGAGAAGAAACGACGTAAGGAGTTGGCCATGCTGGAGTCCCTAAAGGGACACTGATCGTTTTGAAGACAGGCAAGTGCTTGGTCTCACATTTTGCAAAGGCCTTTTCTCGTGGAGTAGAGGCATTTCTTTCTCCCTAATTATTTGCCTTAAGCCTGGAGTTTGGAAGGCTCGGAGTTATAGCACTGGTTATGTGCACTTTTGTTATTGCGATATTGTTGCTTCGAAGGTTTCTATCTTTAGGCGTTTGTCCGTTGGTTTCGAAGGACATTGGCGTACCAGAGAATATTCACGCCGCCAGAGATTGTACCGCTGTACGCTGCTGCAAAACGTAGTTTTCAGAGACTATCATCAGATCATAAAACCACAGAATTGTTTTGCATGTCTTTTCGTGTCCCTCATCCAAAGAGTGCCATATAGACTGATTAGTATTGGCTTGATATGCATTAGCATCCGTACAAGAACTGGGAGGCCGGCCACTTGAGGTATCTGTCGACCAGCATTGGCATCAGGGAAGCTCACTTGTATCTCAGGAACAAGCCTTGCTTTTCTCTCGAATGCCTCAATAAAGCCCCAAGTTACTTCTCTGCGACGCCCATGTCAAACACGTACGGTTCTATAGTTATACACTAGGTACTCAAACAAAGAGACAAGAGGTATGGAGATGTAGATGATTGGCAGTTTGAGGCTCAGAACTGGCGTCACTTGTATCACGCCGTGAACAACTGGTCGTACAAGTACTGTTACATAGCATTTAACATTTCATCAATTCGCTTGCTATATACCTCTATAAATCCACGTTTCAACATTGTTCAACCGCCGACTTCTAGAAGACCACACCAAATCCCCTTACACAACTCATCTGACACACCATCCACCACTATTCAACTTGGACATAACTTTTTTACACCTCCTCTTAACCCAAATATTACCAGGCGAATAATAATTGCCCTTTCAATCATACCAGACAGAGGGCAAGATAACTCCATCGTTCCTCATATGTACAGATTCCACCTCATGATGTAAACATATCCCAAGGGGTGCCACCCTGTCGTTGGTGCCCTTTGAAGCGAGATAGGAAGAAAGAAAAAGAACCAGAAATACTCCGTTTTGAAGATGTGGTAATCAAAAAGGAAAAGGATCCCCGGATGAGACTCAGAGATCCGGAAAAAGTGAGTGATTAAGTTGCAACCTATTCAACGTAGGTAATTGGTGAAATAAAGGAGATGCCGGAAGTGTGAAACGCCATTCGAGTGCATATTCCACCTCCTAGCGAGAGTTATCGAAAGGCGTGGGTATCTTTCTAGAGACATAGGAAAGGTCGTGGTGACCGAATTCGGTAGCACGGAGGATCAAGTGAGAGTTTAAAAGTTTTGTGAAATACCCGCGCTCTGCTGAGGGTAGTGAGACGGGTTCTCAATGCGTGTGTTTCGTCGTGCCGGGTTATCGCGAATGACTGCCTGTTGTGGCCCGTTGTCGCTATAGGGGTTCTGTGAGTATTGGTCGTAGTACCCGTTACCAGCGCCATATGGTACTCCCATGGGGTCCGAAGCATCGGATCGGCCAGCAGCACTGTAAGAGGAGGAAGCGTTGGATGGTCCACGATGTACATCTGCGCCGCGGTTGTTGGCAGCAGACGGGCCCATTGCTCCGAGAATTTCGCCCTCTGGCGAGTGTGAACCATCCATAAGAGGCTCGCCAGAGCGACCGTCTGACATGTTGCCTCGAGTAGGCGAAGTAATATCTGAGTAGGCTCCAGTGACACCACCAGACAGAGTAGTGGAAGCCTTGCGGCCAGTAGAGCCAAGGGTAGTGTTGCCCCAGCCACGGTAACCGGAAGAGCCATCTTCCCGCATCTCATAGCCACCATCTGCCATTCCAACTGCAGGGATCGTGGGGTCGGCGTTGGGGTTGTAGGCATAATCCTCAACTTCCTTTCGTCGCTCCTCTTCGGCTTGTCGTCGAGTTTTGCGCTTCTTCCACCAGAATAAACCGAGGAGCGCAAGGATGGCAATCGCAGCAATTGGCACAGCAACGCCGATAGCAACTTTGCTCTTCTGGCTCAGACCACCACCTCCATTTCCGCTGCCACTACCACCGATGGCATCAGCATCGTCAGTACTGGTGGCGGAAGCGGAGGCCTCGGTAGCGGTAACTCTCTGTGTACGAATCGCGGTAACCAAAACAATGCTCGTTTCAGGTCCCTGACTACCCGTTACGGTGACAATAGTCGACAAAACCTCAGATGTAGTAATTTCAGTGGCAGACGCCTCGTTATTTTCCGTAGTGCTCTGTCGATCATTGCTGTCATCGGTTGAGGATGCGTCTGCCGCCTCTGTAGTTGGTTTTGCTTGAGTAGACCTGCTGGAGCTCGTCGGTGAGGGAGAGGGGTCGCCGGAAGAAGGCGATGCATTATCCGATGTTGGCGCAGGTGCAGCTGTTTCAGAGGCACTGGCGTTATCGGATGCTTGGCTCGCATCATTAGTCGCTGGTTGTGTTTCGTCGGCGGATGGGCTCGGCTGCGTGGCCGAAGGACTGTTATTTGAAGCTGAGTTCGAAGTTGCGGGCTGTGCTGGTGATGAGTTCTCAGCAGGAGACGAAGGTTGGTTGGCGTTGCTGTTATTGTCGACAGAGGATGGGTTAGGAGCCGACGCCTCTGTGGGCTGAGTGCCCTGACCCGGCGTGGACATGGCTAAGTCTAGCGTGCTCACGACGGGGAGTTGTCTATGATCGAGAATCATGTTAGCGACAAGGCAAGAATCGCATTGAGAATTGAGGGTATTCAGAATGTGGTCAAGAATAGTGAGAACGTGTAGCAAGGGAGATGGTGCAGCAACGAATCAAGTCAATCAACACAAGGGGGTCATTGATGGATTAGACGTGATAAGGTCGGAATGATGGGAGACAATATTGGCGACAAGTTTCATCCAAACTGGGACCTCAAATTGACTTGTATGGGGATCGTCGAGGGAGAATTGGATTGAAGGATTGATAGTGAATAACGAGCAGCAGGGACAATTGCATCGGATTGGATGCAATGTATCGTGACACGGCGTACCTTTGGAACTGTTGACCGACCGTCGATCCGTTTGAGAATAAGGAGTAACGAGGTTATTCGCTAAGGAAGACGCGTCGAGAGTGGTTAAGCGATATTTCGAAATTGACCTGGTGATGTATGAGAAGAAGTGAAGTAGAGGAGAAGCGAAGATTAAGATGAAAGACGAGAATGAGAGCGAGAATGAGGTTGGCTAGAACTGGGCTGAGCTGGGCTGGGTTGGGTGAGTGATTGGATTTGGAAGGTCGGGGGTGAGACTGAGACAGAAAACACAGACGACACGGGCAACAAAGAGCCCAACTGAAAGGTACTAGCGGCCGCTGGAGGTCAGTTCGGGGTGGAGGCCTTTACTGGGTCGACCACTGACCGGGACCTGAACCTGGGGCCATGAACCTAAACTTCCAGGGCAGGGCTGCCATGGACTTGGAGGAGGGCCTGAGCAAAAGATCCAGTTCTTTTTTCGCCTTCTTCCAAGGCTCTTGTTGATCGGGCTTGAGATTGGATTTGACGTAACGTAACAAGAGCAACGTACCTAACAGAGTTTGTGCCTGTTATACAAAAGCTTAATTGAGTTGCAACTCAACTCAACTTCAACTTTTCATCGACCGTTGGTTTAGCCTAAAATTTTATTTCTCACTTTTGAGAACGGCGACTAAAAATAAAGGGAAAACGGGTGCCGGTTTGCTTTCGGGAGGCGTATACGCCATCCAGGTCCACTCGTCTTGGGACAGGAAGAGTCAAGATCAACAAACGACAAGACAAAACGTATTGTACGTGTGTAATATGAAAGAGAGAAAGAAACAGCAAAGGCAGAAGGGAAAAGCGTGCCACGCGATAGTCGTTGAATCAGCATCGGGCCTTTAGACGCAGCCATTTTCTACTCAAAAGTCTAATGGAACACGATTATATTCCTCAGCCACATTCACCCAGCTAATTAGGTATCGCCATTTCTCTCGATTTGTCTTTTAGCCGGGGTCTCTTGGCGTGGAGACCCCCAAGACGATATACGAGCCACCCAGCGAGGCAGTGACTCTTTGGGTTGTGTTGGCTTCGGGACGATCAATGGAGCGACGCGACCTGAAAACGTTAGAGGTCAAGATTCAATTATTCAGAGTTACTTGTACAGTATTGTGATATACACAATTATTTGTTTGTTGACATTTAATTTCTAGACATATAACTAACGTTCCGTCTCCCTTGCATCGGCACGAGGGGCTTTAATTTCCCCTGCAGCGCATCCAAATGTAAGGACTCAACCCACAAGACGTCGACCACCACCAACAGCTGTAGACTCATAATACAAGAACAATTATATGAACCTGTCTGTTGAAGAAGAAGAAGAAGAAGAAAAAAGTCTTTATGACCCCATCAAGATTGACTGTCGTTTCACCACATGGCTCAACACGTCATGATGATGAAGCCAAGTAATTAATCCCTTCATCTCTAGTTCCACTGACAGATTCCAAGAGGCCTCTCAATAAACTTTATTAAATACCTCGCAGACATTACTCTTCTCTTTTGAGCCAATTCGAGGGGTTAATCGTGAGTAAGATCACATGTTGGTTGGCATTCAAGTATTTCTGTAGCGTGCCGGGAACCCTTTAATCTCAACCTGCAGCAATGGAATGTCATTCTGATGTACGTCTGCACTCATCGGGCACAATCTAGACTCTACTTTCCTATCTGATCTGATCAAATCTCCTCGGCTGAAGGTCTCAAAAGTGATATCTTGCGTCCTCACGTGCCTCAGTCTTAACGGACGGATTATATGCTCTGCTCTGTTGTAATCTCGGAGCCATGTCCTGAAGAGTCGATGCGATGCGACGCTGGCTCTTAACAAAGACCAACGCTCACGTGGAGGGAAGGCTTGAGATCGAATTGCATTTTGAATTGAAAAGCTTCTCTACAAATTGGGAATGTCAAATCTGAGACATCCACGTTTCTCTATTTTGATATTGGAAGAGGATAGAGAGGGAATCTGGTCTAAGACGCTGCGTACGCGTGACTTAAATCAGCTCTCTAGCCTCCTACAGGAATCCTCATTCTTCTATGACCTAGGCAATTTGACTCAGCGATTGAACGTCAACTTGGTAGGCCATTTTACATACAAACAAATCAACGAATTCGTTAATAATATCTACCAATTGCTACTGGGAGCTTCAGTATCCTCTCATTGCAGCTTAGTTCTTTGTTCGCTCTGCCCCGGTGGCGTTGGCCTCCGCAGCGACTAAAGCACAGCTTTGACCAAAAATAGTAACTTGATCGCGTGTCGTCGTATCGCCCCCAGGAACAAAGCCTTGATTCGACAGACACCGCTGATCTTGGGTATCCACGATATCAAACTCTTCTTTTAGATCTGCCAATCGTGTTATGCCTTGCTTGAGTGATATTCCATAATATCATAACTAACTTCACATAATACGGGAGGATCGGTGGTGGTGCGATACTGGCGCGCCTAGTGACCCAACAGGAGACACATATCATTCGAGCTGCCCTTTTGGGACTTTCACGAACTAGCTACCTAGACTCAGATCGTCATAATCTATACATGGACAAATTCACACATCTCACAATACTTTCTCATCCAGTTCCAAATAAGTAGTAGAATGGTAGAAACAAGATGGCCATGTTGAAGTGATCAACGCCAGATCCAATTGACCTATATACAACGGCCGAACGTACGTTGTCCGAGCCGGCAGTCGTCATCTAGTTTGTCGTGTGGTTTCCAAAGACCTTCTATAATATGCAAGCCTGCAGGTTCCCAGTGTGAAAGAAAATATCGCAAGACATCATGACCCTAAAATACGCCCTTGAAGTGAAGAAATGTATAAAGTTGACCAAGACCGGCGCACGCTGTGTAATGCAATGTCAAAAAGACAACGCTAAGAAAGTTTTTTGACAAGTCAGTGGCAGCCCATGCATAGACTAATCCACTGAATGAGTTGATGCGCTACCTTTTATCAAGGTCGAATTCCCCATGAAGGCTTCAATGTATCTTGCAGCGCTTGTTGGGTGAACACTTGGTCGCCAGGCAGGCGACTTACACGTCCAGCTCCGCCGCGGATGGCACCAAGCTGAGCCTGAGACATGCCGCTGCGGTTACTCCTGATGCTTCCAGCGTCGCTCATGGTGTCGGAATCCTTGAATCTCTTGGGAGGTGCGAAGTCAAGTCCAGTGAATGTGCTGGATTTGCGGAGAAGATGGCTGTTGCACATTAGCTAAAGTTTATCTGATTGCGTAGTGGCGTAAAACTTACGGGCTGGGGAGAGCAGTCAGCTCCTCGAAAGGCGAGACAAGAGTCTGAGCAGCAGGAACAGAGGGGGAGTAAGGTCGTCGCTCGCCGAAGGGACTTTGAGAGCGACCAGCTGCAGTGTCACGGATGGTGTTGGGAGGAGCAAAGTCAGCAGCGTTGATGAGAGCGATGTTATCATCCTTGAGCTTGGAGGGAGTTGGAAGAGTGGTCAAGGGTGCGGGTGGTGGAAGTCTCTTCCTTGGGGGTTGTCGGATTCGCGCTGAGGCTGAAGAATCAGGTCGAGGGCCAAGAGCAGAACCAGCGCGGGAACGTCCTCCAGGTCCGCTCTGGTAGCTCATACCACCGATAGAACCGTTGGGACCACGAGGACGAGGTCCGGGACGACCAGGACCAGGGCGGCGGCCAGCTGGGGGAGGTGTCATGGCACGGCGAGTGACGGGCTGGGCGTAGGGCATGACGAAGGCATTTGTCTCAGGATCAAAGTAAGCTTGATCACCGCCCATCATATAGCCTTGGTCAACATCCTCGTAATATTGAGGGCCGGCTCTGCCCTGAGCCATTGGGGGCATGGGGGGCATAGGCGGGGGTGCCTCCTTGGTATCCTCGAAATACTCCTTGTAGAAAGAACGGATACGGTTGGCACGGTATTCGGGGTCCTCAGACTCTGTGATCTCATCCGGAGGAAGGGGACGGAATCCGACTGAGAGTCTCTTGTTATCCTGCTGGGGAACTCCTAGGCCTTGGTACTGAGGTGTATCCTCCACGAATGAGGTACGTTGCATGGTGCGACCACGGGAATCGTCCTCATGGTCTTCGTAGTAACTTGAAATGTCAGCCGCGGGGGTGTAGGACTGATAGTTGGAACCATCACTCTGGCGGTCGTGAGGGAGAGGAGCGGACTTGGGAGCATCAGGGGAAGTCACAGTTGGGGATTTAGGCTGAGGAAGAGAGAAGTTCAAACCCAGACCAGTGGCCTCATGCTCCCTGGCAGGAGGTAGAGGGAAATCGTTGGCGGGCTCCGAGGAGAAGTTGGGCAACTCAAACTCGGGAGTCTTGCTCCTCACTGCGGGAGGTGGCTGTACGGAGGCGCCGTCACGCTTCTCATCAAAATCGGAAACCACTCCAATCTCAGGAATGATTGCAGTAGGCTGGAATCCATCCTTCTCGTCGAAGTGAGAGTTTGGCTGGTGAGTTGGCGCAGGCGCCTTGGGAGTGCCGAAAGGATCGACCTTGGAGTCGGTGGCAGAAACAGGCGTCTCAGGCAGGGAGTTCATGCGAGATGGGGGCATCTTCATGCTACCAGGCTTGCCAGAGTTACGAGGACTACTGAATTTAGTATTGTGCGAGAGGGAATCCTTGGGATTAAAGGACCGCAATGAGCCGGTCTCGCTTTGCGTGATGGTCGCGACATACTGGTAAGGGTCCTGGTTATCATTTCCCAAAGACTTAGCCAACGAGTTGAGCGACTCTCGCGACTCCTGCAGGCCGGGTGGCAGCAGGTAGGGCGAAGAGAGGTTCATGTCCATCGAGAGCTGACTGGGTTTATGGTTGAGGCCCTTCTCACCCCCTCCCATAAAGATACTTCGGCGGGCAGACTTCTTTCCGCCGGCACCGTCGAGGCCAAAGTCCAGGCTCTTGTGAGGATCATTCGCATCCTCAAGCATCTGCCTCTTCATGTTCTTACGGTGGAGGTAGTACAAGAAGATTGCGATTAGAACGATAGGAACCCTACACATAACATGGTCAGCATACCGCGATCCAGTTGACCATCCGAAATCGAAAAAACAAAGGCGTAGTTGGTAGCATACACAATAGCGACAACGATGGGAACTACCAAGTTCGTGTTGGCGCTGGCTGCTGCACAACTGTCCGTGTCTTGGCAGTTCTCTCGGGTGACGAGTCGGCGAAAGATCGAGGAAGACGATGCGACTCCATTCTGGGAAGCTGAAGAGACATCATCAATGTTGGTGCGAGGTCGAAGGCGAGCACCTTCGTAATGAGCGATCCCCATGTTGGCCTTGTATGCTAGCGCATATACTCAATCAAAGCTTCCAAACAAACAAAGAGATGTTGATCGTCAAGTGTGATTTCCTCCGCGAGAAAGTGAAATGGGCGTGAGAATATTAAGAATTGTCGACTATTAAACTCCAAGCACAACTGTCATAACCATTAAGCTGTAGTGCGATTGACAATGTCGGTAGACGGCTGGCACACGTCGAGTATTATCGTCTCCAATTTGATGCGGTAATCGAATGAATCTGAAATCGTTTTCGTCCGAGGATCGCGAGAAGCGTCAAAGTAGATGTTGGGCACCGTAATCTCGAGAAGAACAAGACTGGACAAAGCCAAAAGCCAGCGAGCAAAAGCGATTGAGCGAGCGGCTGTGATGTTTGTTGTTGTGTAAAGAGGGACTAGGTCATTAAAACAATAGACCGTAACGAAACGAATGACTCGAGCCTGGTGTAAACAAGACTCTAGATTAAGCAGTTTTTTATAAAAGAGTGACGAGCCCGCTGGCAGGCAGCTTTGGCAGAAATGCAGAACGATATGATGCTGTCGTCGTCGACCGATGAACAGTTGGAGAACGAAAGAAAGGAACGACGAATGGACGAGAGAAGGAGAGTAGGTAAAGAGGAGGAGGAGGTTAGCGAGTGAGTGGAGGTGTAGGAGTGGAGCACGACGGGAGAGGCACAGGAGTAATGGAACTGGGACTGGAACCTCCACCAAGGACACCCTCGAAAGCCGGTACCTGGAGTGTCATTCTAGGGGCTGAGATGTCCTGCTACAGCGACAAGACTCACTGTTCTCACAGCGGACTAATGCCTGAGGGGCCGCCCAACACAGGCCCAGACAACCAGGCCAGGGGGGTAATGACCATTCATGGATCAGGTCAGGTCCCGTCCATCCCAGACAATGAATGAGCCTTGCTTTAGTTAGCATAGCTCTTAAACGATATCCCAATCAGGGGATACAGACGGAGCGAGATGGAGTGACACCAGGTTGAACCATTGGATTGGTGGTCAAACCCTTGCTCACTTCCAGACCCCTTCCAAGGTCTTCTCCAAGAGAGATTAAGGTGGACATCCTACTGGATCCCATGGAAAGGGTTTGCAACGAGGCCTTGGTCAGAGCAGAAAAAAGAATCTCGTCATGGAAGCCCTGTACGATGTTCAGTGCACAAGCTCATTATTTGGTCGGTTGCTTCTGGTGAGTGAGGCATTGACCGCATTCCCACAAACAACAATCAACAACCAACTCTCTCAAGCAGAGCAATCCGAAAATCAATCAATTAACAGAAACTCAGTTATCAAACGTTTAATTTCCAAAAAGTCTCTTTTTGCCTCGCCACCCCGCTAGCGCCCGCATAAAAACCACCAGTCACATCGAGCATCAAAGCCCAAAAGGAAGCATCAGCATGCGCCTGTGGGTGCACAACCAGGTACAATCTCGCATAACCCAGATGCACAATCGACCCCTGACCAGTAAAATCACAAAGAATGCATTAAGTTATGAGCGCTTCATGCAAGGCACGCGAGCGGCAGCCAGGCTAACCCCGGCAATCATGTGGAGGCCCGGGACCAAGACCAGCCAACGGACGCCATGGAACAGCTCTGCTCTGACAAGACCAAGCCCCGAAGAGGAAAGTAAATAAAGGGGGAGAAAGCCTCCCCGCCTATCCGCAGTGGCGTCAGGGGCCATATCATGTCAACTGAAATGGCTGCTGCAGGTACGCGGTTGTGAGTTCAATAGATACGGTCCTCTATCTATTGACGGTCTAGATGGTCTTGGACGAAGTCATTCAAGACAGTGTCAGTAACAATCCGAGAACGTATTGTTCTCTCCCGTTACCGGTCAACTGGATGAGACTGACATCCTGGGCAAGACAAGACAAGACAAGCCACCTGAAATGAAAGCGAAAAACACTTCTCACCTTGCAAACACAGTCAAACTTGATATCAATCACACCGTCTGTTTCCAGGTTTCAACCCCTGGCTTTCAAACTAACCCCAAGTGGCTGCTCGAGATCGCCAACTCCCTCATATCAAGATGCATATCTCCGGTGTCACACAGGCTGAATCGTTCCCACATCAGAATTCTTGCATTAGAATCTTGGCTTATCGTGGGTCATAATTTTAACCCTCACCCACTATGCGCTGTCTAGTGCTGAGATATGCATATTGCCCTCATCTCCGTCTCTCATGTCCTACTAGCTTATTATTAGTACTCAGCTTGCCTACGTACGCACGCACAAACATTAAGAGAAAAAGTCTTGAAATGGCTCAATTTTGCAGGAATTACCAGTCGCTCGCCTACGTCAATATGGAGCTTGTAATTTTGATTTGGTGACTTCCGCCGCGAGCCATCTCACGGCATATCATATAGATCCGCCGGGGAAGCCGGATGGTTTATTATTAGGTAGTTGAGCCGTTCACCATTATTAGTCAGGACGATCAAGCTCCCTTACATCGGAGAGACGAGGCTATCACCACTGTCACCTTCACATGTTGCAAATACTGCGGATTGTTTTGAACTCTGTTTTGCCTTGCCTTCGGCCCGTTCACCGTCATCCACGCTATTACCATACGAAAACATCAATATTGGGATTCGTCTGATCCAATGGCGGTCAGTGTTTGACAGGCAGGCTAACAGCTTAACATCCATGGATATCCATAGCAGTTCATGTCGGAATCAAGGACTCCCTTGACCAGCCAAGGCTTCCTCCAGTCATGTCATCTCACTTTATAAATCAAGCAAATGATATTTTCACTGTGGGGAAATGCCTCACACCTTAACCAATATTGCTATCCTTGATCCCGAAGCTTTGAAACCGCCATTCATATACCATCCCAGTTATCCCCGACCTGGCAGTTTCACATATCGATGGCCCCATCTCCCTTCATATCGACCCCTCATCCTCTCCGATCTGTCGTGATTTGGTAAAATTCTGGCGCATATTCCAAGAGCCATCCTTTCTCGATCTTGGTGACATCCCGGATGAATATCTTGCTACCCGTCTCCATTGCTTCATGGAATATGACCCAATCCGCTTTGCGGTTGAACATTAGTGAACTTGGATGTGCGTGAAGAACCATGTTGCCCTCGACGTTGCGAAACGTTCCGTCTGGTTGCATCCTTGCTGCGTGGGCAAAGTAGCCCGATGTAAGACAACGGCGGATCTGTTCTGCTTTTTTGACGTTCGCTTCCGGTGGTGCTTGTCCAGCGATTGTCTCGTCTACATTAATGCTGAATCGCTCGAGATACCGTTTTATTTGAGCTCTGATACTGACTGCTCGACTCATGGACTTGAAGTTGAGGTTGTTTTCATGACAGAACTTTGCTTCTTTTCGTCCCTTTGTAACAAAGGCTTGGTAGGCGTTAAGGAGAGTCAAGTGGTCGCCCTCATCCACGGCGAACTTTCTGCGTGATGTCTCCATCTTCTTTTTCTCGCCTTCGTGAGAGAACCATACACTGCCTCCGAGACTGGTCATTGCCGCGATTGTAAGCACTTCGCTGAGGCATCCAAAGGACGGTGCCGCTAGTAGGGTTTTCGCCATCATAGGCTCAACGGCCAACTCGGCCATCCTTGAGCCCATAGGTCGAGTGAGCTTGGCATACTCATCCAAAGCTCCTAGAGCATAGAGCAACTCAAGAGCCTTGGCCATGAGTTCAGATGGTGGCGGAGATAGAAAATCGAACCGCACGATATTGTCTATTCCCAAAGCCTTGAGTTGCAGGACTACAGGTGCCAAGTTCGACCTCTGAAGCTCAGGGACATTGGCATCCGGCAGCGACTGGTAACTCTGCTCCGTGTAAAGCCGGAAGCATTTTCCAGGTTCTGTTCGGCCAGCTCTTCCGGCACGTTGGGACGCTGCCGCTTTCGATAATGCTGTAGCAGTGAGTGACTCTATGCCAGTCCTTGGGTCATATGCTCTTAGTTTGACGAATCCGCTATCCACCACGAATACAATTCCATCGATTGTGACTGATGCTTCAGCGATATTCGTAGAGAAGACAACCTTTCGGGTGCCCTCTGGCGGCTTGTCAAACACGTACATCTGCTGTTCGGTAGACAAGCCAGCATATAATGGCAATGGCATCAGGGGCCCGTGTTTTGAGCCAAGATCAAGCATGCGCTCGCTGACTGCTTGTATCGCATTGTCGATTTCCTCTCGGCCAGTCAAGAAAACTAGGATATCTCCTTCGCCTTCTTGGGTATGAATATCAAAGACCACGTCAATTGCTTTCTCAACATAGTTCTCTGCCGGTGACTCCAAGTAGAGTATGTCTATTGGATAAGTTCTCCCTTCGAGACTGACGATGGTCCCGATTTCATCATTTTTGTCTGTTTTGTTTGGCTGATCATCACTGCTTCTTGTGAAGAATTCCAAGAACTCCTTAGCTTGAAGAGTAGCACTGCTGATGATGATACGCAACTCGGGTCGCTTTCGGCGAATCTTCTTTAGGAGACCCAATAAGACATCAGTGCTGATAGACCTCTCATGTGCCTCGTCAACCATGATAACCGAGTAACGCGTCAGCAATGGGTCGACGAGAGCTTCTCTGATGAGGAGGCCATCTGTGAGAAACTTTATCTTTGTTGATGCCGAGGTCACATCCTCGAATCGAATTGAGTATCCGACTTCTTTGCCAAGCTCACAGCCAACTTCTTCGGCGACTCGCACCGCAACTGTGGTTGCCGCGACACGACGAGGCTGGGAAACGTTAGTTTCTGTGGTGACATGGTTTTGTGTTTACTTACCTGGGTGACGCCAATGATCTTTCCATCTGAACACCATCCTGCTCGTTCTAGGAATTGAGGTATTTGTGTTGTTTTTCCAGAACCAGTTTGGCCTATGACAATAGTGACTGGGTATTTTTCAATCACATAAAGAAGGCTCTCGCGATGTTTCGCGATAGGGAGTAGAGCTGCTGGCTTATGGAGAGCTGGGATAAAAGCTGCATCTAAATCCAGGTCTGCCATTTTGGACTTGGTCAAACAAATTCAATAGATTTATGACCCTTTTTAAGAACAACGCAGAGTCTCTCACACCACCCGTATGTTTTCTCCTCTATGTGCGCACAAAACTCAGCTTGTTTGAACACGACTCATTTTGCATGAAGCTTTATGTTTAAAGTCAAGCTTCATGAGACGCATGAAAGTTACCCTAGACTTGATACTGCTGTCAGAGCTACAGCCAATCAGAGCAACCTTCCCACTAAGAATGCATTGTGGCGAGTGGGTCAACGTCATCAGCTTCGTGTAGGCTGATTGACCCCTCGCGCCTCATCTTTAATATCACAAGCAAGGCCAGGCTGAAGCGAAATCCCCAATTTCCCTGGATATTGCCCATCTTTCAACCGACTTCTAATCAAATCTCGACTGCGAACTCGTGATAACTTCAGACTGAAACTAAATCATACCAACGACAAGTGCGATCAGGATGTCAGCCCCTGGAGAAACGGTATACTACTACTCCTTTCGAGAACTGTCTTGGATGGCTGATGTTAGAGGATTTCTGCTAACATGACTTCTCCTGCTAGAACAAGGCCACCGCTGAGAGTGGACCTGAGTCGCCTACTACTGCGCGACCCCTTGATCTTGACGACGATGATGTTCAGGAATCTGGCGTTCTCGATAGCAACACTACACCCGCTGCTGCGACCAACACCACTAC